CAGCAGCAGCAGCAGCAGACGACCCGGCGCCTGCAGAGCACCCAGCGCAGCAGCGCCCAGCGCAGCAGCGGCAGCAGCAGCACCAGCAGCAGCAGCACCAGCAGCAGACCACCGGAAGCCCGGCTAGCTTTCGTTCACCCCCTCTGGCCTCAAGTTTTGGAGGGTTGTTTGTTGTGGTGATTCATAAGTCATAATGGGATCTACAATCCAGAACATGTTCACCCCAACAGCAACGGGTGGAACGGTCCAGCATTTTGCTTGGGCGGTTCCGCCGAAGAGGAGCGATGCTCCGATTCCTGTTCCTGCCCGCGGTGTGATGGTGCGGTGTTGACGTTGGACGCAGTTCCATGGGGGTTGGACATCTGACTTCCAAGTCATATGATTCATGGGTCCAGTTCCGAGTCGCTGATCAACCTACGCACCCTGCGTTCGCTGCTGCACTCGGCCCGTGGCATTGTGAGGCCGAGGAGATGGCGGAGTCCGCTCGCGCCTTCGCCCGACGAGTGGCCGAGGAAGGGTGGCGGGAAGGGCGAAGGTGGAGGTGGGAATAGGTGGGAAGGGGAGCTGAAGAAAGAAAGGCTGGTGCTGTTGGTTCAGAGCGTGCATGGATTTTTTCTTCATCAGTGCCAGTGTGGGCCGAGGGCGACAGGAGATTTGAGAAGTGCGACATCAACAGGGGGAAGTGAAGCAGACTCATTGTTCTGGTGGTAGAGAAGACCCCTTGGTCGAGCAGATTTACAAAAACCTGGAGCCTCAAGAGCTGGGCCCTGTCAGGTTTCTGGATGTTTCTCAGCACGGCACATGCAAAACTAGTAAGGCCAACCGGCAAAACAGGCAACCCAATGCTTTCCATGAGGCTTTTGGTGGCGTTTCGTAAGAAGAAGGGTGCTGTGACAGTGACATGGATGTTTTATATTTTGCAGTGGAGATCTTGTTTGGCAATTGATAGGATGAATACTGTAGGAGCCTGTGGATCTGGAAGTATTGTAGAGAGAATTGAAGTGTTGACATGTACCGCAGCATTCACACCTTAAAAAGTGAAATTTAATTGTATGGAGGTCACCGCTAATTTTTCCACGCTAATGGTGGAATGGTTCACTATTATGAAGTGAAGGGAGAAGAAAGAACACAAGAGCAAAACAGAGGGAAACTAATAAGTAATAATAAGTCATATAGGCTATAGATGGCTATAGGTAAGCTTTTTGTTGTCTCTTAGGGTGCTGCCGCCTGCCGCAGCCTATGTCTTTGTTTCTAGTCCCTCAACGGAGGGAGATAGCCGGCCAATCCCTATAATGTTATCCCACTATTTGGTCTCATTCATTCATCGGGTTTTTCATATTCATTATAGTAGTCTAAGGCTTTTGCTAATGAGATTCTATAGAGACTGCATCCTTGCAGAGACCTGAAACTAGAGTGCCATTTGGTGTTGCATTCTATAGGAACGCCCTTGCCAGTCTTTATAAAGATTTATCTCTTGCCACCCATCATTCTACAGACATCAGTGACCCAAGTGGTAAAGCATAGGGATATATAATATATATATATATATATTCACCTGAGAGTGGATCGAGAGTGGTTGAGCCCAACGGAGTGTTACCCCGAATGACTGGGTTCTCCCCTGCTTCTATGGCGATGAAGCACCAGCCTCCAAAAGCTGCTGGCCAAAAATGGATCCGGCAAAAAGTGGTTTTATCAAGATCAAACAGAAACCCTCTGCAATACATGTCCATTGTTTTGGTCGGAGGTCGCCCAAAACTGCTTCTATTTTTCTCAAAGAAAGTGGTTTTAAATCCAATCCATGTTGCCCCCCCCCACATGTTCCAGCGGTGTTGGGCGAAAGACAGAGACGGTTCGGTCGGTGAAAGTGTCAGGAGGACCGACAGCGGGAGGAAGCAGGAGAGCCCAGTGAGAGGAGACCGTCGTCGCTTCAGATCAGGTCCGTCCGAAAACGTGTTGAACCAAGGTCTGGGACGACGACCTGAAAGGGATGAGAATGGAAATCTCTGAAGTGCGAAGACTGCGAGTCGAAGGTTCGCCACGTGGGGTGGGTGTGTCGAGGCCATGGGGTGTGTCGATCCTGGTGTGGTTTCCATGTGGTTTCTGGGCATGACATTGTGACTCAGTGACATTGCACTACGACATTGGTCTATGACATAGACATTACTCAGGACTTGGGCATTTTCTCAAGACCTTCGACGCGGACGTGGTTACTGATCTCATCACCAAGCCTCGAATCACTCCTGACGACCTGACGGCTGCCAAGACGGCTTTTGCTGGTGGACGACCACGTTGACAGTTGATTCAACCAGATTCTGATTCGCACTCACTCGGCTTGAATCACCTTTCAGACCTCATTTTACTGGTACTCGATGGGGTCAAGGACCAGGTTTGGACCTGGATCTGACTGAACCTGTAGGGCTTGGGTTTACAAGCTCATTGCCCCTGGTTTCTCCTCCCTGAAGTAGGCTTGTGTGCTTTGTGTCCTTGCCTGTCCAAGGTGGAGGATAGCTTTGACTGGGTGGAGGACGCCGTTTCCTTTTTGGGATGGTGCGTGACTTCGGTTGGACAATCAGTCGATGATCACCGAAGGAGGCCTGAGTGTGACTTCTGCGCAGATGCAACGTCCTCCCCTCCCCACAAAGCCGCAGGGAAATGATGAGGATCCAACGGGATACTGGGTGGTGGTTTCGAACGTTGTTATTTTAACCTTTTCTTGGGATGGTTGAACCGACTGATTCACAGTGTTCAAGTGAGTTGAAACCACCAATCAGCATCTCTTGACTCGCACTGCAAACCGGCATGTAGACCCCTCATTCTCTACTACTGCTCGCGCTTCACCTGACTAACCAGAGCAAGCAAAGAGGACCTTCGATGGACCTGCACGACGTGGCGTCTCCCATCCTGCCATGACTGACTGGTGCTTACACCGTAGGGAAGGAGTGAGGGAAGGATCTCGCCCCCGAGTCCAAAAGGGCCACCCTCATTCCCTACGAAAGAGTCGCACAAGTCAGATGATGGACATCTTGGAGATCTGTCGCTCCCCAGGGCTTTTTCCTCCCGTGCCTGGAGACATCAGCACCAGTGCCATCAACGACCTAGAACCTGAGTCGACTGCGGGCGTGTACTCCGTGCTTCGGAGTACAAAAAGGCTCTTCTCCTCTGAAAAAGAGGGATCAAATGGGTTCGAGGTAGATCTACCTCCCCAATTCCTTTCCTCTTCCATCATCAAGCCAGGCGTTAAGTTCCATTTCTACTGGGCTTGATTTGAAGCCACATTCCTGAAGAGCCTGCTGGGTTGTGTGGGCATGTATCAAAAATAGGAAAACCTCCCTGGTCGACCCACTGGAAGGTTCAGAAAATACACCAGTACTAACCAACAGCTGCTCCGACTGAAGTAACGGTCGTAGGGCGGAGGCTGGTTTTGGAGCGCTCGAAATCCAGATGAATGGGCCGATAGATGCCGGTAGCAGGGGAGGGCAGGTTTCTGGCCTGCGGTGTGATCGAGCAGCAATGCAGTCCATCATCTCCGGCCTGATTCCCAGCGGTTGCCCAAAGAAAACAGGCAAAGTTCACAATGACTTTGCCTCCATTCCACCATGGAAGCCTGAGATGAGGAAGCTTGCAGGAACACTGGAGCGGCCTCTTTTTGCCTGCCGCGGGTCATTGCTCGGTAATCACCTTCGCCCCATCACTCTGTTGAAACTGCCAAGACCATGGGCGTGGGTGCCAACTTCCATGCCACATCGGAGATTACCACTCTTTTGATGGTATGTCCATCAATGCAGGAACAGTTATTGGTTGGCGTGGGATGTCCTTCTTTCTTTCATGGCCACCGAGATCCATGGTCAGAGATGTCCCCCCCGAACTCTCCAGGCATCACTTGATGTGACATTTGCCATTTTCATATGTGGTGTGTTCTTGTGGCGGCAGGATGTGGACTCCTTTCTCGGTCGGATATCCCCCGCTTCACCCCTGCCCTAGCTTTCGTCACCAACCCTCGGCCTCAAGTTTGCCAGTTTGTCTTCTTCCAAAAGGACCCTGCAAGTCATTCCTGGAAGACCTCTCTCTGTCGGCGCAACTCGCATTTCATTGGAACGAAGATCCGTTTCATTGGCGCCAAGCAGCTTCTGGTCATGTTGCTACCTCTTCTTCGGAAGCTTATGAAATGTAAACGCATACCTCTATATCTATTATGTAAATATATACAAAACAATATGCAGCGACTAGTTTACGAGTGCTGAGCTTCGAATACACATGCATACATGGGGGGACTGGCACGTCGACGGAAACTATCCTTAAACGCTATCAGGGAGCACAAACTTCTCAGGAACACACCATGCTAACATGCCTTTTTCGATGGAGGGGGTTGCTCCACATATGACAATCCCCGCCTGCAGTTGCTTCGAAGAAACGAGATCGCTGCTGAACACAGATGCATTATGCCGATGCCTCGAGAGAAGTCTCTGGATGCCCACTTAGCTACCTGAGAATGCCACCGGGATCCCAAGAATTGGGTGCTACGTCCGAGCTGTCTTCTGCGTTTTCTGCGCACCTTCTGTCGATCTATCCGACGTTAAGCCTTGATACACCGTGACTCGCACCTTCGGGGGCCCCGGCGAAGCCAAGGGGCGTGGGTGGGGGTGCGACGGGTACGGTACACCGGTGCCTACCTTGTCTACCGTGACTCGTCGCAGGAACCAGGGATCTCCCTATCAACAAAAGGCGCGTTGATGGTGGTAGAGAAAGAGTTCCTGGTTCCTGGTTCCGGAACGTGGAAGCAGACCATCTTCCCTACCATGGAACCATCTTCCCCATGGAACCAAGGTATCTCCTTACCAGGCCATCTCCATGGTCCATGTGTGGTTTCGCTCCTCGAGGAGTCTGGCCCATCCGCTCTGGGGCGCCTTTGTGTCACGAGCTGCGGTGCTGGCAGGGTGTGCGGCAACCCAGCTTGCGTCCGTCAGGTGTAAATAAGCCGCTGCGGGGGCCAGACCTGCGTGTCGGGCAGGTTTGTGTCTTTTTTGTTTCGGAAAATGTCTTGGAAAATCATGTGAGTTTGGGGCGTTACCCTCCCTGCAACCGCCCATGGAAGTGGACAATGACTTGTTCGGTACTTGGATTTGGTCTAAGACCCGGGGCCACGCCATCCACCATGAGAACGTGGGAGGGACAGGTATACGTCCATCACTTTGAGTGTTGAGTTCAATCTAAGACAGAATCGGGCCAGTCGGGTTTTTGAAGCGACCGAAGGGAATCTCCGCCTGGATCCTCGATGTTGACGATGACGCGACCGGAACCATAGAGATTAAATTCAAGACTGGCGCTGGGCAATGTCTAAGATCACCCGAAGAGCAGAGCGATCTGTAGAGCTGGGTTTATGGATGTTTCTGGAGGATGCTTGGAGAGGATCCAAAGAGAAGCATTGGTTGTCGAAAATCGGAACGTTTGCTTTGCTGTGTCATTCGCAGTTGTTTCAATTGATTCTGCAACAACACACCTTTCTGCGAGGTTTGAAAATCGACAGAGAGACCTCCATTGTTGGGTTGTTTTGGTGTTTGGCGTGAATTTCAACAACGGGATGGCCCATGTGTCCCAAGAGGTCTCCCACTCAACCCTATAGACAGCCGGTTGCTGGTGCCATCCCGAGCTAGCCGAGCTATCAGTTCCGCAAGGTCAGTACCATAGGCGCTTCGCAACAACGCGAGAAGATGAATGACGCTCAATCGACGGAGCTGATAAGAACGTGTTTTGTCAGAAGGGTTGATGTCTTGTGGGATTGAAGGGTTATTCAAGGGTTTCTTCCATTTTCAAGGGAGCCTTGATATCCACCCCTTGTTGAACTTCAGAAAGGGAGCTTCTTCGCCCTCCAAAACTGGCATGTCTTTTTCCGGGGTCAGGTAGCTCCTTCCATCGTCATCAGAGCGCCAACCTCTCCACCTCCCACCTCCAAGAACCCTTTGTGCCGCACCGACCCGCCAAAGACCCGCGGAAGACCTCGCCCGCACCGCGCTGTAGGTCTCGGGTGGTGGTCACACCGTCGAACCGACGCTACATCAGCTTCGAGCTCTTGGCTGGTGGAGTCCTGCAAGTGCCCGAGGCCGGACTGGCGCCTGCAAGTGGCGTGGTTGGGCCCAGGCCTGGTAGGTCTACATGTGTGCCACCAATCAAGACTCACCGTGAAAGAGCTACACAGCTCCGGTATAGGACGGTGGGGTGCAGCGGGATCACGGAGGATCATGGATGGTTATCGAAAAAGACATTTGAGGAAAGAAGAAAAGAAAAGTGCAACTCTGCTGGTGGTTCAGAGGGAGTGATTCCCCGGAATACGAATATATATTATATACCTGGAACCCAGACATGACCTCTGTTTTGATAGGAAAAGACTGTATTTTGGGTGGTGGTCCAAAATAGAGGTCAGAACCAGGTTCCAGATATATATATATATATAATATGTATGTGTTCCCCAGAAATCACGGATCCGAAGGAGAGGGCGACATTTCGTTCCCTATGTCAGTACTGCTTGCACTTCTCTGGAGGGTACAGCGACTTGCGACCTGGCGACCTGGGCCGTTCGGTCCAATGGAAGCCTGTCAGCAGTGTAGTTGCAGTATACAAACCCAGTCCCAACCAGAAACAGTTCTGGTTGATCCAATTCGTTATTTTGAGGGGGGATCCTGAACACATGACCAGTGGCTGGGACCGAGGAAAAGTCCTGTTGTGTCTGGTCTTTAACCTGTTGAGCCGCCGAATTCGGCGAGTCCCTCGACGAGGATGCAGCACTCCCCTGGCTCCGCGCTGTTGAGGGCTCTCTCGGCAGCCGAGCGGCGGGGCAGCAACCGAGCGGTGTTTTGGGGGGGAAACGACCCGGAGTACGGCGGGTTCGGTTTGTCAGGGAGGAAACTGACCCGAGTTGGAAGAATGAATGGCAATTGCTTTTATATGCTTCTATAGTTCCAAGCAAGTGGCCATGTTCAGGCGGTGGCTTTTGTTCCTCCCAAAGCAAAGCCTGAAGTCCACTGAGTTGTGATCACTGTGTCACCCTTTTCTTTTATAGGAGGGATCCAAATCCCCAGGAAGTACGTGCACCTGCAAATGTGGATCACCCATTCATGGAGCCGTGCCATAGTTGCAAACCTGCATGCCCTGTCGTCTCCACATGCGACAAAGCCTCGTGCAACCCCCACTGACGGGGGTTTCAGGATCGTGGAGGAGTGCAATCCGTTTCTCAATCCTTTTCACTTGCCATTTCTCTGAGAGCACCACACATTGTAGCGAAGTGGCATAGGTTCGCCACCTGGATGTGTATGCCACAGCTTTGTCACGCAAGGCTCGAACATGGTGCACAAGATTTTTCCGGGCTGCAAAACGACCTGTCAAGGGGGAGACGCCATTTTTCCCCACAAAATATGAGAAGATGATAACAGATGACAGACGGGAAGTTCGGTGAACCCTTTTCTTTGCAGGTCTCTCCGGCTCGAGAATCGGACCACGGATTTCGTTCGCTGGAAGGAATCGGAGCCGAACCGGTTGTTTTTAGGTTGCTTTAACCACCACAACAGCTGCCCAAAGCACCTCCCAAAGACGATCCCAGTTGAGCAAGATCCAAACATGACCTGTGATTCCCAAGGGCCAAAAACCGTGTGAGGCCTAATGCCTATGCATGCGTATGCATGCTAAAATGACATCTTTGGGCCGGAAGAGACCAATCCCTACTGTAGGCTTTCTCTGGCCTGACCCTTGATTCAATAGCCTTTAAAAAGAAGAACACTTTTTCCCCAAACAGTTCACTGTTGAGGTTCTCTCTTAGGGTGGACGCCGACGCCCCAAAAATGCTGACGCTGGACGTGGAGTCTATGCTGGTATAATTACCCCAGGTTCGTTAGACCACCCGGTCCCCCGGACTCTTTCAATGGTTCCTTTCGGGAATCGCCACAACCAGGTGAGCGCGCCGGCTGAATGGACTGAAGGAAGCTCTCGCCACTGGGCCGGGATGAGGATGAAATAGAAATGGGGCTTGGACTGGTGTGGGATCCGGAAAGTGAGAGTGCTTCAGAGAGATTCGGGGATGTTCTGTAGTTAGATGTTTGCCTCAACACTGTTTTTCGGCATCATACTTCCGGCCAACACAAGAGGAAGTGCTCCAATTGATGTCTCTTGTTTGAGCTTTATCTAGGGCTGCCCACAGTATCCAGGGCTGCCCTTGGATACCCCTTGAAGGACCACGTGAGTTCTACAAGTCAAGAAGCTCCGGTGAAGGGAAAATACAGCTAGGAGTACCACTCCGCCAGCAACAAACGCAAATACCAGACTATCACCTCTTTGGGGAAAGGCCGGACCTACCTCTCCATCATACTAGGGCTCAATACGAGTCCCAGTAAGGAGGAAAGCAGAAAAAGATCCACTGTTACTGGTAATAGGATAGTCGGATAGACATGGATAGACCCAACATCTATGAATGAATAGCTGTGGAAGAGGGGAGTCTGCAGAGTGCCTGATGATTTTTGACACTCTCCCTGCGGTTTCAGTCACCATTGGCATCCATTCCCACCAGCCAGCCAGCAGGTTTGCGTGGCATGGCAGCCAACCTCATGCAGTGAAAACCTCTCGCCAACCTCCCACGTGTGCAGCCTCCCGTGTTTGACCAACCTCCCCACCCAAGGACCCCCGAGCGGTGCGGTCTGGGTGGTCTCGGAGCTGCTGCCGCAGGGCCGGAGGCGGGACACCCATGGGGCGATGGACGGGTTTGGACCGTTTTGGTGCGAAAGAGACGAGGGAAATCGAGGGAAGAGAAGAGAGGAGTAAGAACGAAGGAAGAAAAGAGACGGAAAGGAAAGAAAAGGAATGAAAGCACAGGAAACAAAGAATCGAAAGGAATTGTTGCTTGAAACGAAAGAAGGTGTGCCAGCTCGAGAGATGGGAAGACTGGAAGATTCCTGCTAATTCAAGCATGGTTTGGTTGCTTTTGGGCATTGCTCAGATGTTTGATAATGTTTGATAACGGGAAGGTTCTCCGCGGGCTGCCTTCTCGTCAAAAGTGCATGTAGAGAAACAAGGCAAGAAGGCACTGAATCTCTGAAGAAAAGACATGAACATGTTATAACATTGGAAAATCAACATGGAACCTTATAACATGGACCAGCCTGGAAGACTATTCTCCTCTACAACCCAACGTGGTTGTCAGGTTCCATGTGTCTCGCATCGACCCCGCGTCTACGGGACAAACGGATCCGGATCCGCAGGAACGACCTCAAGATGTCAAGAAGCGAACAGAGTGGGGGCAATCCTGTGGGGTGAGAGTGCGGCAAGTTGGAGTGGCAAAAGATGTATTTCATCTCCTTGTTTCAAGGATCTTGCAGTGAAGCACATGGATCATCTATCAGTAGTCCTTGGGCTTAGCCAAGTTCACCAAGCCTAAGGCCTTCCGCTTTGCCACGCCGCACGGCGCACGGCGCAGGTTGGCCTTCCGCTTGGTCACGCCAGCCGAACTCTTCCCGCGCCACTCGGAGCGGTCGAAAACCGCTCAGAGGGTTCATGTCCAAGTTTTATCCATTGGATGCATCACCTGAAAAATCCTTTTGGGGGGGCATGGGTGTTGTTTGTTTCTGTTTGTGTTTCCTACATTCGGTGCATAGTCTTCGTGATCTCAATGATCTCGTTTTGTCTCGAGCGGACCAAAATGGTCCACGATACCGCACTCGGGATGCGTTTTCTTGGTGAACAGGTGGGTTAACCGGTGAACCCGTGAAGTTCTATGTTTGACACTAAGAATGTGTTGTTTCGTCATCTGTTGCTCCTCCACACCCAGGTGCTGCGTCCAAGGTTGCACGGCGACCATGCCATGGTGCGGCATGATCATGGTGCGTCCGGTTTGAATCATCGTCATATCGTGCTATGGTCGGGGTGTATGGACCACATCCCAACTGCCATTGTCTCTCTTTGTTCAAAGGATGCCCATTTTTCGTGGAGGTGACATCGGAAGTCTTGGAATCCCAAGGTTTTGTGTGCAGGAGTGGGTCGAAGCGCGAAAGATTTGAAGAAGGAGCAGGAGATCATAGGAGATCATCTTGTTGGAAAGAAAAAGTGTTAATCTCGAGTCTAAGATGGGAAAAGACTTCAACCCCCCATACTGCATGTGCTATCATATAGTTATCATCATTTCGAGCGGCCACTGGCTGGACACGGCCTAACCGCCGTGCCTGGGAGTTCTTTTGGAACTCCGATCATGGGCTGGTCCAGTGCACTCGGGACCGTGCTGGCGGCCGATCGGCGGCCGTGCTTCCGGTGTGCTGGAAGTAAGCCCTCACCCACAGCATTCGACTCGGTCGTCTGGGACGGGTACTGTATTTCTGGCTGGTTCACAGGTGAATGAAGGGCCGGACATCCATGCAGGACATCCATGCCCTAAGACTCCGCTCCGCGAACCTGTTTGCTCGCTTTGTTCTCATCATGGTGTTCATGTTGTTCCTTCTAAACGGGCCAAACGACATCGGTTGCGGTCGTCACTCCAAAGGGTTGGCAGTACAAGTTATTCCACTGTTCCTCTAACACACTCAGCGGTTTCAGCCGTTTCAGCCGTTTCAGCCGCATGATCTGAAGTTCGTGGCTTACCAATTGAAATGTATTCTGAACATATTTGGTTTGCGAAGCCTTGTGGGGTATCGTGGGGTCCATTTTTAGCCTCGTTGATCTTCGGGAGGCACTTGAGGTTTGCAGAGTCTACAACTAGCACCTCCCGATCTGTTCAGAGCGTTGTTTCCTCTCCCCTACAAAGCATGGTGATTGAAGCAAAGTGAAAACCCATACTGGTCGTACCTAGGTGTACTTTAAGCATACTAGATTCCTAGATGATGAAAAGGATTGGAAATTGTCCAAGTCCGGCATGATCACATGCTCCATGTGGAAGAAAGACTGACTGTCGTTCGTCCACGTGTTCGAGATAGACCAAGGCTTCGTCGAGGCTGGCAGGCTTCCAGCTTGGCCACGGCTGGAGAGCCTCTTGGAACATTTGAGCCAGTCGGAACGTGCGGAAAATGGAGGCCCACCAATGGGTTGTAAGGATGGGCAGGCAGTGGTAGGCGTTGGGATCTGGAATTGGAAGTGGCAAGTAGTCTCAAAATGTTGCAGGATTTGGGCAGCTAATTAATTGTTTCTAGCAATCCCTACAGGTCAAAGACCTCATTTGACTGGATCCGGTCATGCAAAGCCAGTACTCAATGAGGTCAAGGACCAGGTTAAACTTGGCCGTTGGACTTGTAGGGAATGAACAGATCCACTGCCCAAAACCCCAGATCTCGGGTGTTTACTCCCTAAGAATCCTTGGACCGGGCTCGGGACCCTCATGCCATCTTTCTTCGTTCGGCGGCCCAGATTCGGAGGTCCACTTTCTAAAAGAGATATCCTAATTAACAGCAAACAAGACAACACGTGATTGCCATCCAAGAAGATCTCAATTGCCAGGCAGTGTGGTACGCACCTTCAAGTCCGAAGGTCAAATCAGTATAGGTGCTCCTGCCAATAGATTCGATGTACCCCTTCAGGTGTTTTCACCAATTGATCCCTTTGTTATTCTCACGGGTTGTGTTTTACCCGGTATGCCCGCCATGAATGGATGGCAAGGGGTACAGAGGTGCGTGGATGTGGATTGGTGAGTAGTAGGATCGAGGAAATAGATCTCAGCAGGCCTTTCCACAGATGCATTTGGTGATCGCATTGCGATATATCCGGCAAGGAAGAGCTATGAAGCGCAAAGAACCACGACGCGGAATCGGAGTTGCTGTTGAACCTTTACTGTCTTTGTACTAATGCATCTATTTCAGAAGCCTTCTGAAACCGTACAAGCGTACAAACAAAAGCGTTCAATCACCCCAATGCCACGGACCCCTAAAATCCTAACCACTTAAGATGGAGCACAGATTCTGCAACGTCTCAAACCCAGGCACTCCACTCTCGCCATTTCTGCTTCGCATAGATCCCGTGGCAGCAAGCCAGCTGGTAAACCCCATAATAGGCACAACAAACATGCCTTCAATGGCAGTGTTGGCTGTAGACCGGTCCTGGGTCAGGCCTGCTGTGAAAACCATTCAACAAAGCCGCTGATCGATGTGTAAGAGATGCTACTCGACTCTATTGGCTACTGCCAGTTAAGAAGTGATAGCATTTGAGACCCATCTGGGTCAAGAAAACGTTCCGCTTTTCCCAGCCCCATACAAAAGAGCGTTCCAATCCGAAAAAAAAAAGAACGCATCAACCGCCCAACCCTCATCCCATTCCCACAGAACAGAAAGAGTGTGTGCTCCAATTCTCCCTGTCTGGACCTGGCAGTTCCTCCCTCCCTCCAAACATGCGCCACACATCCACCGAGGAGCCCCACCGCCGCACCGCGTGGTGTCGGGACGCTGGTCGGGACGCTGGTCCGGACGGAGTGGAGTGGAGTGGAGCGTGGGCCCCGCCCAGGCGTGGTGTACCTCGTGGAGCTCTCGACCACCCCAGAGACGGCCGCTGGGACGAGAACAGTCGTCCGGTGTCACCGGGTGGGCGGAGGAAGAGACTGCAAGGAGAAGCGTGCAAGGGGTGGTCCGAGCAAACGGTTTGGTTTATGAAGTACTCACTTTGAAGAAAGAGAGATCACTGTGCAAGGGTAGCGACTCAATGCATCTTGTTTGAGTCTCTTACCACAAATACATGCAGGTGTCAACTTAGAGTTGGTTCAGAGCCATGTGAATGGAGGTCTCATGGTTGGTTGGTGAATGGAGGTGTTCTCTTGGTTGGTTGTCTACGTGAAGCATCCACGTGCATGTATGAAATGGGCAATGTAGGCATGGCCTGATGGGTGGACAGGCAGACTATATTGTGCTCATCAGATCTGTGCTCTCTTGTGCCATCATTTGCGGTGGCAAGTCGAGTCCTCACCTTGATTCGAAAAGCGACAGTTAATTGCAAAAGTACTGCTGTGCAAGGGGATGTGTTATTTCATGGATGTTCTGCTTGAACTTTGGGTTCCGCATGTCCAAGCGGCACTAGACCAGGCTTCACTTGTGGAAATACAGAGTGGAGGTCATTCACCTCAGAAGTCGCCGGAACAAAGCCCGAGCAGCAGAACCCTTCACCGGGGCATTTCATCGCGCGCGTCAAGCTTTTTGTGACTGGAGTTGGGCGCAAGCGGGAGTATCTGGAGGTTGCAGAAGGAGACGAATTGACAACCACCATGGCTTCGATTTGGTTGAAGAAAGAGAAGCATTCCGAGGCCACTATGAGGCGATGTTCTCGCATTCTGTCGGAAGAAATCACCTTCATTCGTTGTCGTGAGAGTGGAGATCGGTGAATCAGTTTTCCACTCTGCAGGCTCTGGCTTTGGTGGTGGTGGAAGCGGTGCTGGGGGGGGTACAAGTGGCCCTTTTGGTTTTGAAAGGACCCTGACCTGAGGGGCATCGCATAGTTGTCGTCGAGAAAGATGAATGCGGGACATGTGTACCCTGTTGTTCGCATGTAGTGGAGCTTGCTGTGGAATAGCTGGAATAGCTGAGCTGTGTTTTCAGACCCTTCTCTTGTTGTCAGGCCTGATGCACGGATGGTGGCAGCTTGCGGTAGCGGTATCCCTCAAGTGTTAATAAGCAATGGGGGCATGGCCCATCACTAAAGAATACAAAAGATACCTTGGGATCCATTCCCTCATTCCTTCCCGAGCACCAGTCAGGTTTGGCCTGTTGCTTCAGCACGCGGTTTCACCTAAGATCCACAGTGTCTTTCCGAAGGTCCCAACTTGTTCCCGGCGAGTCCAAGGGATACCCTGCCGTTAAAAGGGGCTTTAGGTGACCCCGAAAGGAAGTTCCTTTACTACGCCAATCGTGCCAATCGAGCTGGACTTCTGGAGGAGTTATTCTTAGGAGTTTTTCGTGTGTTCGTCGAGTTGTGGGAGAGAGTGTGAAAGAATGTGTCCCTTCTCCTTCCCAGTCGTCCCCTGTGATTTTCCTCATTTTGCCACAAAAAAAGCAACAGGTTAAACGCGTTTCTTTTGGGGGGGCCGCGTCCCCTCATTTGGGTGCCTTTCTTTCGCCTCGTGCTTGACTGAGGTGGGTCACATCATGCCCTACCGGCACGACTACCGGAAGTCCGAAAAGAGCTACGCCCGGGCCTCCCAGACCGTCCTCGTCTGGAGGATCGGAATGCCACGGAGAAAGACGATACGTAGTTTCTTGCTACTAGTAGTAGTGCCCTTGTTACTACGTAGTTTCTTGCTACTTGTAGCGATGATGCACTTGTTACTATAGTAGCGTCTTGCAAAGCGGATCTGGAAGGTCAGCGCCGTGAAGGGTGAGGATATGCTTCAATGGTCCGAAATTTGTTGTTTTCCTTCATGATGGGCATGTTTAGAATCTAAGATGAATCGCATATCCAAGTCCAGTCGGTTATTCTATTGTCTGTTTGTCTCATCCCCTGGACTCCCGTCAACGCATCAAATGAGCAAGCCCGCTCACCAGAAAAGGCTAGCAGGACGACATGTAGACTACCTGTTCGACGAAAACGCGCTGGGACGTTTTGGTAAGGACGCAAACAATACGTTTGAATTGGAAAACCATGGAACACTTTTATTTGGGTGCGGGGAAATGGACTTTTCCTCTATGTGGGTGTGTGGTAGAACAACTCTGTGAGTAAAATCAATTGCTTTCAGCTTGCTTTTTTGTTTTGAGTGGCTGAAAACGAAGGGTCCCAACCTGCCGTGCTGTGCTGAACGTGCCCCAACCCGCCACAAAAATTTTCTTGAAGGACCGCTGTCAAGGGTGTGTGGCAGGTCTCGCGACATGAGCTTGCTATGGTCAAGAGGGATCAAAGTGGCAGATCAGTCAAGACGGAGCCATGCACCGCTGCGCACGCCGGTGCGCCACCGCGCACATCGAAGACCGGACTCGCCGGGTCGACGTCCAGCTGGGGCCGGTCGCCACCACGCACCGATCGCCGTCGCCTCGTCCAGGCGGAGGCGCGAACGATCCGGATGCCGTCGGATGTTTTCCGGCCCGAAATCCATCAGCTCGGCCCTGCGTAAGCTGGATCAGAGGGTGCGATCGAAGACCCAGATTTGCGGAACTTGCCGACATCCTGTGTGCTTTCTTGGAGCTGAGCTGCTTTTTTGGAAAGCGAGGAGCTGAGACAGAAGCTTTTGAGAATTTGAGATCGCGTGGGACGTTTTTGCCAAAACACCATACAGACGGCCTTTGCACCGCGTCCAGCCAGAAGGCCTCGCAGCCATGGCGAACTGGTCGGGTCGCCCTGCGCAGGACGTCCAGTCGACTCTTCAAAAGAAGGGGTCCGACAGAGAAAAAAGTGAGAAAAAGAAAGTCGTTTGGATGACCCGGAGTTTTCTGGAATGTCCTGAAACCTTGGGTGGTGCCAAAGTCAGCTGAGTCCTGGGGTCGTCTCCTTCGCGCGGCGCCCAGAGCCATCGGAATCCATCGGATCGCTCGGTGAGGCGAAAGGTGACCTCCTACTGCTGGAAGGCAGCCGTCCGGGCTTGCAGGCGAGTTTCGAGCGTTTCGTTTAGGTCGCCCGTTTTTGTTGGGGGACCTGAAGAAGTGAACACAACTGGGTGACAGCTGGGTAGAGCCCCAGCAGAGACGTTGGATTGCCAACAGATGAGAAGTGTTCAACTTGTTGATACATGTTGATACCAGGTTTGATTGTTTCACACCTTGCTTCCCAATGGATGTTTTCAAAGAAACTGCTGTTTCTTTTGGAACGACGGCAACGCACTTTCGGCATCAAACACCATGGGCTGCTGCAAACGCACATCTTCGGTGCCCTATGGCTGGGCGTCCAGGACGTGGGCATCGTGCGCAAGGTGCTCTATGGCGCCAAAGGCGAGTGTCCCGGGGAGCTGTTGTCGGTGGAGCGGCACGTTCGGTGGAAGCGAATTGAAACCATCCGGCAGATGTGGCATCACACTCAGCCTGGAGTAGATATATGATGCATATGATGATACATTATGATACATTACGATACATTAAAACAATGTTCAAAACATATTAAGCAATCAGCGCAACATGTCTTGTCGCCACCATAAGAAACACATGCACCACTGCACCACACTGGTTTGAAAACTCAGTGTGTGTATCTCCAAGTTGCTGGCGAGCCACCAAAAAGACAGGATCTGTTTCAAAAAATAGACACCCGTTTTTGTCCGCAGAGTTGCTTGAAATTCTGGCACAAGCAGTTTGAGACCTAACCCTTGGGGTCCAATTCCTCGTCCTATTTGGCAACCCGCCTCGACGCCGTAATTTGACGGGTTCATGAAAAATGCCGGTTCATTGCATGGAATTGCAGGTTTTTATACCACATATGTACATTTACACTGTAGGGTTTCTCCTCTGAACTCGTACACACAGTGGGTTTTCCACCTCCAGCTCTTACCCACCTCAAGAGCTTGCTCCCCTTCCCGTCCGCATGCAGTGGACACGGCCCACCAAGCAGGATTCGGGGATGGGCCATACCGCAGAAAGCGTTTGTGCAGGGGAGAAGGCGGCGATGATTGCCGCACAGAAGGATCCGCTGAACCTCAGTGGTTCGGGCCTCAGACAGACGCTGGTCCGATACATAGAGCTCACCCACCATATTGGTATTGCGGAAGCTGTTTGGACAAACCATGGTATCCAGAAGCGACTTGGTGACTTAGTGAGGGAAAGATGGATGTGCTGCAGATGTGAGAGTGAGTATTGCAGTCCACATTTCTTTACAAATCCAGATTGGACAGAGTCGTATCACTAAAGGCCCAAACGCCACTCAAAGTTCAGTTGTTTCAGTCAGACCTAGGGAGAACCGATTTGTCCAACTGCAAAGAGACGGGCTGATGTTTAGCGTTCCAGTGGGACGGACAAGACAGGCTGCTTGTGCTGATGTCGTTCTGATGCTGTGCTGTTGGAGTGCTGATGGCTGAATAGTCAACTATCTCAGAAGGACTGCTGCAATGGGAAGATGGTATGCGGCATGGTATGCGTCTCCTTTCACTTCTTCGTCTTGGCCCTTTTTACCAACCACCGCTTCTCTGGGGTGAGGAATACTATGGTGCGGCTGGTGCGGCTGGCAGCATACGCCACCCAGCCTGAACGGAGCTAACGTCGCTTGCTTGTGACCACTCTTGGCCTGGATAAGCTGGAGGTAGTCTTGCTTGCAGCCGCAGCCTGAAGCTTCTGGTGATCCTTGACCATTCTTTGTTTCTTGCTCTGCCATGACACTGCTGAGCTTTTCCACCTCTTGATCCTGGTGGAGCAAGCCTTTCCAGGACCGCTCCGGTCGCTGTTTGGAGCGACAAGCAGCGACCGAAAGACCGGCACCGAAAGAAATCGGCACCGAAAAGCTACGCTTGGTCCTCTCGAAGGGTGTTCAGTCGAGCTCCTCAGTCGTGAACGAAATTTGTCGCAGATCGTGCGGCGGTGGCCCAAACCAGAAAGCTATCTAGCTTGAAAGGCCCGCTTCGTGACATCGGTGGAAGACCTACTCATTTGTGCGAGCGCCAGACTTTAGCTGCTTTGGATTCCAAAAGAAGAAATTCAGCGGATGTTCCTTCTGAGCCTTTACAGCAGAGGAACCTTGTCTATTTTTCTCGGACACTCTTCGGAGTACGGCTTGGAGTGCAGTCTCTGGCATCATTTCCCACGTTGACGGCCTGAATTCGAGACCTGGACAATACAGGGCTGGCGCGGCCGTATGGTTGCCCTCCGCAACATTTGAAAACAGGTGAATCCATGAGGCAGAAGTGCCTCCAATTGCCGACCATGATGGTCGGGCGTCCGGTCGTGCGGTCTTCACTGTGCATGCAGCATGCAGAGGTGTGACACAGGCGCCAAAGGCTTGTCTGTATCCATCGCAAGGCCAGACGTGTTGTTCGCGGTTTCTCACCCAAAGTCCTCCGTCCTGACAAGGGGGTAGCATATTTTGTTGCGTTCATTCGTCCTCCATTAACGAAATTTTCTTGCAGATACCAAAGCCGAGGCGTATCACATGAATGTCTCCGTCCAACAGACATGATCATAGCTCCAACAAACAAGGTGACAGCTAGACAGAAGAGTTTAAGCATGTTTAAACAAAGAGCTTCGTCTTGGTCTTTGCCTTGTCACAGAGGCCATGGGGCGGCCATCCACCATGGTGTTTGCCCAACTCCATGCCGGGGTCAGCCACGCGATCGGTGATCGTCGACGCGAAGCTCGGATTAGGCACTCCACGCTTGGCCTTACAGCGCTGTGGAGCCGCCGAAAAGATCAAGCGCGAGCAGCGCCTCGGAGTGTCAACCGAGAAGAAGCTGTTTCCGAAACGCAGGAACACAGGTCCCTGGGAGGCTACCTGCTGTAGAGGTAACTGGAAGGCTCTAGGGTTGATATTTGGCTGTGGGTCATGACATACAGATCTCACAACCGGACCACTTAAAACCGATGTTCTGTTCATGATGGGCTGGTCAACCTGGTCAAAGAATGGTCATGAGATGATGGGCAAATGTTCTTGAGGGCATGTTCCTGAAAAGTTCCTGTTCAAACAAGCTCCTTGTAGCATGCAGGGTCGAACTGCCACCCCCCCCGGAAGTGTGATAGATGTTCTCATCCAAATGCATTGATGTTGTCTTCTGTTTCCACCCAAGATGTGATCTGGCAGAATGGTGTGGTTGAACTCACCAATATGTATATATATATATATACATATGAATTTGCTTGAGCACGCCATGTGAGTGTCCTGAAATGTCCAGCTGAGGATCACCGCTTTGGAACGGATGGTGCTTCCTTTGCCCAAGCCTCGGGACCTCCTCGGGTCACTCCGAAAGTCGCTCGAGTCCTCCGGACGAGTCATGGAGAAAGGCGGACCTGGGACCCGAGGTCGGCCCATGTTCATCTTGTTTTTGGAGACCTTGGGCCCAGGATGTAAGCCTGAGGATTTGGATGACCACTGAGTGAAGAAGAGTCTTGGAGGAGGAGACAAGTTCTCACACGTTCTCACCACTCTGTTGATGGAAGCTGTGGCCGGATGTCCAATGACCATGGGCCACGCATTCCTCCCAAGTCGTGACCTAGCTTTTTCGGGGCCTACCACGCGTCCGACACTCATCCGCATGGTGGTGACGTGGTCTGGATGGTCCCTTGGACTAGGAAATCACATCAAATCCAAAGAGCACAGGTGGTGAACTCCAAAACCATGATGACTCCATTTGTAGATCTACTTAAGGAAAGATCTTCAAGGCTGGCTGGTCACACCTCATCTTCCCAGACTCTTCTCGCGGATGCCCTCCTCCCCCACGACCACGGCCAGACTGTATGGTCATGTGTGGTCGTAGACCGGGAGGAGGGCGCACCACACCTCCAGAGGTTGGCTTCCCGCTTGCCTACGGGCGCCACGGCCTTGGGTGTGGGCGCTTCCCTGGACGGCGCGGATAAGCCATCATGGCTCCGGGGGGGGTTGGTGGTTGCTGGGCCTGTGAGCGGGAGAGCACCTTGTTGAGTTGAAGGATTGACTCAAAAAGCGTGGCAGTTTTGACTTGATGTAGACTACTTCCTTCTTCCATCGAATTCCTCAAAAAAAAACAGGGATTTGGGGAGCAGAACGACACAGCAAACCAATATATTTCAGTAGATCATCCCTGAATGGTCGAACATCATTTTCTGCCATAAGTAAGTTGGCCACCGATCCAAAGTGCAAAGAGAACGGTTTTTTCGTGCATGTTTAAAGGACGAAGCACTCCAAGACGAAGGTGTGCGCGGTTACGGAGACGGATCCACAGCCAAGTGCTTGTTGACGGCAGCTATGCCGTTCCGCCCCTTTCCGATGGGCTTCGTTCGGACCAGCAGAACTTCCCACTTCCCGCCGTGCGCTGTGGAACTTGCTCAGAGAAGCACGGAGTTGCTTGCCTTGGCTGAGGAACGGAGTTGCTCTTTGTGAATGTTGGGGTGGCGCGTAAGTGAGGAAGCAGATGCACTTGAGGAAGCAGATGCACTTCCAGATGTGCATACCTCTGAGACATGGCTTCAGAGCACGGGTTGCGCAACAGCTCCAACGTTAAGCGGTGTGGGACGCAGCTGTTGCGCCCGCTCGCAGGGCCACAGTGCAGCACCAAACGGGACGGTGCGGGTGATGAGCGATGCGGATCGGAAGCAATCAGATTCAGTTGCTTGTCATGAAGTGGAGGTGCCGTGAGGTGCTCCCGGTCAGGTTTGTTCATCTACCGGAGGGCGCGGTAGGGCTGGCCGCGTGTGGAGTAGCATTGAGGCCAGAAGCTCTGAAGAGGAGTGTCTCCCAGCTGGTGGGTGACGGAAACTGCACATAACTGCACAAGTGCTTGCCACTTTGTTTCCTGCTGGTGACCGTGCTGCGCATCGACGACGTGTAGTCAGAGGTTCTTGTTGGAAACCAAAAACTGCGTGGAGCAGGAGGAGTTCACTTGGGGACGGGGGTCGGTCGAATCGGTGGATGATGCTAAGGTTTCCATCGCCGAGGAACTCGCGTTACGGCATCAACGTTGCGCGCTGCCCATACTTGGGATGACCCTTGGGCTGTGACTGGTCTCTTTTTCTCCAAACAATGTGGCCACACTAGGGGTTCTTACGGTAGGTGTTAAGGCCAGGTGTTTGATCAAGGTGCTCCATCGGCGTGTCTGGCTAATTAATTGGCTGCTATTTACAGTACATTAAAACATATGGGTTGGTGGTACGCGGCGTAGCCCATTTGCTTCACTCAAGTGCCGGCACAGACTTGGTCACACCGAGCCGAAGAAACGCGGGGCATGACTTCAGTCCTTCACGGTGTCCCATCACCAAAGTCATCCACCAAGGAGAAGGCCGACTTTTTTGGTTCCACGTCATATGCAAGGAGTTGACTGATTTCGGTGAGCCCATCGGCTGGATGTGTTGAAGCTGTTGTTGGTGGGACACTTACAGCACGACCATGTGCAAGTGTTTAAGAGCCAATTCCACTTCGTCACCAGTGGTGAACATGAACATCTCAGCACGGAGACGGACTTAGAGAGTGTCATGCACGATTCTTCCACCCAGCATGACACGGTGACCGACTTCTACCTGGTTCGCTCGTTGGAGTTGCACAAGCCAGGTCCACCTCGTGGACCAGAAGACTTGCAGGAGCGCAAGGGGATCAAGAGCGACAGTGACGTGTGCATCGGGGTCGCCGCAAAGTGAGCTGCAAGCGGCAGGGCAACGGTAAGTTCTCGCAAGAAGACAGCTATGAAGAGTGTGCGCCCAGAACATTGTGCACAGAGCTATCTTTGCCGTACCATAGTACCATGCAGGTTGGAGTTTGGAAGATGCCACTTTGGTGGAATCCAGCAAGGAAGTTTTCTTGCGTTTGCTCCCAGAGGGATTTGAACCCGAGCGGGTGACCGGGTGAGGTTCCTTTGCGCTCTCTTGTGGTGCCGTGCACGTTTTCGGACTTGGTGGTCACTCTTCGTGGCAAGCACAATGGAAGTCCAACGTGGACTTTCCCAGGCGCAGGAGATCGGAGCGGCTTTACATGTGCAGATGAAGAAGGCAGGCCTCGTGACCTTTGGACATGGTGGTGGTCTTCGGCGCGCTCAGGTGCGGTGAGTCGTGACCCTTGGACGTGTGGCTCGTTTTCGGGAGAAGTCTCGAGGCTTGCTGCCTTGCTGCGAAACACCCTGGCAAGGCTGCCCGATGTGAAGCTTCATGTGCAGATTTCCTGGCAGGCACAGCACTTTGTGACCTTGAAGCACGGCAGGCGCAGTACTTTGTGGACCTTGAAGTGCAGGCTTTTGCGGCAGGCGCAGCACCTGTGAGCCTTTAAGTGCAGATTTTGTGGCGGCGCATCATTTTGTCAATCTTGAAGCGCAGATTTCTTGAAAGTTCTGTCGCCAGGCACCTTCCTGCGCTTCTTTGTGCGGCTCCCGCCATCGACCGAAGCGAAGGGAGCCGACCAGGAGCGATGCGCGTCTCCGGGCTTGCGGAGGAAGTCGGAAGAAAGGGCTTCCATGGAGACCGTCACCGGCTCGATCCCCTGGAATAGGCTAATCATGACTAATCTACCTTGCACCAGGAGCCTCAATTAAAATACGCAACTAGCTCTTGTCATTCTGAAGTCATAGAACGTGGGGAAGTCCACAAAGCCAATAACAAAGTGATTATGGTTTGGGGGTGTTCGTTTCCAGCCACTCCAGAGTGGTTGTAGATGGAAAAGCAGATACCCAGCACCCTCGTTTAAACAATGTGTTGGAAGCCATGTCTATCTACTTGAGGACCACAAGAAAGGAGGCCTTGTTTGGACACCCTGGTGTGCCGACCTACTTGTAGGATGATCCAGTTGTGGGTTGGCTACCCAGGTGGTATTTCCGGTTGGTTGTGACACAGTTCTTGGCGGAAAATCGCCCAGAAGCGCATTACGTCAAAGGTATAGGTTCCCCAGAATGTACAGAAAGTTATGTTCCCAAAGTAACGCACACCGCCACATAGCCCACAAGCACGCCGGCCCCACAAGTTCTTTACTTTTAGTTGAAACTGAATTGATGGCCAGAAGCTATGAGCCTTCCTGTCACACAGGAGCCGATTTCCTGCGGTTTGCAAGAAGCCACTTCCATTCCCTCCGCTTCAAACACTTGAACATTTAATGCAGTCATCAAAGGCTGGAGATGGCTGGAGCCTCAGAAGCATCATGGTGATGTTCGCATATCCAACCTCCTCCAGCCCAAAAGCAGCACGCCAAAAGGTTTGTTCATTTTCAGCCCCCAAAGTTGTGTTTTGTTTGGTTTTGCCCACTGGGAGGGGGAATACATGAATCCACTTTGCTATTGATACTGGTGGGGGGTTCATCCTTCCGTTGTTTGTCGCGGTCCAGGATTTCTTCATCAACTCTTCCTTTTGATCAATTGCCTGCTTCAGCTTTCACAGAGGCTCTGAGCTGCTCGAAGTAGATCCTCACTTCCTGGCATTAGGACTTTGAACTATCGACCCATTCAATACATGTAGAATTCTCACTCCCATTCACTCCCCTAACCCCTGGACCGGTACGACCCGGAACATACCCTTCCATGGCCAGGAGTCTCCAGCCGCACAAGGCGCTGCTGCGGCGGCAGCGGCAGTGGGAGCATTGCTCGGCTGCCTGTCTGAGGCGGGTTTCATGCGTCGGCGAGGGCAGGCGTGTCGTGAACCTGCAGGCGTGTCGTGAACCGGTTTGCTCTGCAAATGTGACCTGTTGGCCCTTTGGTCAAGAGATAAGACACAAAAAGGTCAGATCTCAAAGGAATTACCTATGTAACGGTATTTCCTTAGCATGTGATGCATAACCATGATGAATCTGGGAAGAAACACACTAGCTTTTCGCTTGTAGGGGTGAAAGGTGTTGCAGAAAGGGCATAAAACATTCATGCGTGAAGCAAGAAAACTTGCCTTTTTGTGGGTGGGAGCACCCTTCCGGACTCCAGGATCAATTTCATTGTTCCCAAGGATCAGTGATGTTTCCGAAACGCTTTGATGCCTCTAAATTTACCGCTTGTCGGATCGTGTAGCTGAGAAGAAAACAGACTATTTTGTTAATTTGTTGGGCCCAAATGGGATGTCCAAAGTTCAATGTCCAGAGTTCCTGGAACTCCCTAGCGGTTCCGACACTCCAAACACTCCAATTTCAGAAATCATCTGTGTCGGACAAAAATAATGGAGTGTCCCAAAGATGCAGAGCGGGCCGTAGAAATCATCCGTAGCTTCATGACGGCGACCAACCAGATTCAGATTGTGGTGGTCCCATGAAGTCCCCCCTACATGTCCCTGAGTGACACGCCGCTGAAAAACCAGGCTAGACACGGCCGAGAAGGACAGATTTTATTCAGGCCATTCCTTTTGGTGGCTGAAAAGGTCGTTAGCCACACTTGACCAAGTTCCTATTTTGAGAAAGGAAATAGTGTAATAATATAGGAGACCTCCAGTTGGACCCAACTGGAAGAAGGCAAATAGACCATGTGCCCCAACCCTGTGCTCACAGGCATGTGGTAAGACGGAACCGCCTTCCACGTGGTCGGGCGAAGACCTGACAGGTCTTTGCTTCTTTCGGTGCTGAACCCTTGCCTCAGCCGAAGGACACCGGGCGAGGGAAGGGCTGAGGTTTAAGCATCAATGAGGGTTCAAAAGTACTTGCAAGCTGACCCATGTAATAGGAGATTCAGTGACATAAGTGTTTGTTTTCATGTGTGTTCACACGTTTTCACTGCCCCTGAAAACCCTGGGCCAGAAGAATTATGAAGAATCTTCTGACTGCCGGAAAGAAATGGAAAGAAACAAGCAAACAAGATAGGGACATTCCTTTTGCCCAAATCGCTAGAGTCTCATCCAACGGATTTTGAGACGTCGAACGATGGGGCAATGCGGTTGCGGTGGCCCATAGCGCGGCGAAAGGGCTGCAAACCTATTGGTCAGTCGTGATTTCTTGCCAAAGACATGTGGTATCATGTGGTCATGAAAGGTAGGAAATAAAGATTCCACGGGCTATGCATGGCTATGCCATAGCCAAGAGAAGAATAGAAAAGAGAGCTTCCACAATAGAACTCGAGGGCCTACTGGTAAACCTCCCCTGGTCGGGGCATGTCTTAGCACGATTTGTCAAGATGTTCACTTGAGGATTTGATGATTTGAGCTTCATCAGATCTGTGCCACTTCAGGAAGTGACCACCAAGGAAGTACAAGAAAAGAGAAAGAAGGCGGTTCTTGCAGATGAGAGCATGTCGCAGATGAGAGGATGTCCCTTGAATTCTTCCGTCCTGGCATGGCCTAGCTGGGTTCTAGACACCAATATGATATCAATCAGGTTCATCTCATCTATCGCTGAGCTTTGTGTCAACAAACCCGGAGTTTGCCGGCTTTCTCAAGCACCCCTGGCAGTGTTGTTGCATTTGATGGACAAGGAGTGAATTCATGGTAGCTGGCAAAGCTACCTGCAGCTGCGAACGGCTCCCTGTTTCATGGGGAAGAACTGGATACCACATGATACCCACCGGCGACCCTCAGTTGCTCCTTCCTGAGCTCGAATCGTTACAGGTAGGAACGTCGTTTGGTTGAGAGGTTCTTCACACTTGAGGGTGTTCATGGTGAACTCGCTTGTGCAGGAAAAAGACCTCCATCCAACTCTCACATCCAGCTATTGACCGCATCCAAGCTCCATACAACTGTTCTTGGTTGATAGGTGACGTGTACAGGAGAGTGCCCCCTTCTTGACATTGGATTCATCTTGAAGAACACTTTGATGTGAAACTGGGACCCGGGAGCAGTTGGGAAGTTTGGCTTGGTGACATCGCCATTGTCCTGCTTTTTTGAGTCTGCAAAGAAGAGCAAACCTGCTGTGCAGCGCGATTTGTTGAGCCTTGTCCTGAAGGTTTCATGGTGTTTGGCACCGGAGGCTTCATATCATCCCCTATGTCCAACGAAAGCACCGGAAGAACACTCTCTTGCAAGATGACAGGGTGTTGGCCTTGGGCGCCACTTTTGCCAGGCCAGAGATAAGGTCTTGAAAGCTGCACGAAAGAAGGCCAAAGAGAAGTTTCTTGTCTGCATTCCAGGCAATGATTGACATGCAATGCAATTTTGAGGAGTGGTTTCCGACTTTGAGTAGAGAGGTGGAAAAGGTTATGTTGTTCCCAGGAAAGTGTAGTGTAGCTCTGACTTTGTTCCAACAAACAACAAGCCCGACCGTCTTGATGGGTGCTTTTGGGATATGTGTGGCGGCTTGCAATGGCATTTTCAGGATTCCGGTACCCTGTGACTGTGAAGTCTGACATCCAGAAGTGTCTCTAGGTGCAATGGATACTGCATGCCCTTGCTGCATTCGGAAGATTGCATTGAAGCTTCCAAGGAAAGCCTCCTCGAAATCCTCGTCTTCTTCCAGCAACTTGCCACCGATCTTGCTGCGGTTCACTTTCACCTGACTCAGGGTGATGTTGATTTTCCCTGGCGAATCCCTAGAATAGGGAATACGGACGTCCAGGCTCCTGAAGCAAATCCAAGCAAGTCAAAAATCAGGTGGAATGAGTAGTGACTGGTATGGAATACTGGTATGGAATACTACTCAGTCCAAGCAAGTCAGAATACTGGTATGGAATGCTGTTTCCCTTACACGGACTGAGTAGTTGACGTTCACCATGGATATTGGGACAGCGCCCCTTCTGCGCCATCCAGCGCTTATGTCCTATGTCATCCAAATTTCAAAGACTACCCACTTGGTCAATCAATTCTGGACCACTGAAGCTCCCGGGCACATCTTGAACTTCTGAACTTCTGAACCACCCTCTTCTGTGATTGTTTGCTGTGCCTCGTGCCTCAAGTCGCCACCGAACATCTCTCGACTCCTGCCGTCGGCCCCCCTTTTTCAGCCCAAAAAAAAATCCACGACCTAACGCTAAGGCTCCTCATCCGATGAGTTCCTCCTTGCCATGGCCAAGAGAGGTGCCAGCGGAAAAATCCTCGGAGTTGCTTTTCAGGGGGTTGAAGTTCTGCGGAGATGGGGGAATTCCTGTTTTCATGTGTTTTCTATGTGTTTTTTCCTTCGGGGGGGGCAGTAAGAGGGGACAAGGTTTCACTAGGACTGACGGGACAGTAGATGGCAGCAGAGTCGGCGCTATGGAGGAGGCGTGTTGGGAGCAGATCTGCAATTGGATGCACAGATGATTTTCCAAGATGCTCATGTTGCGATGCTTTAGGCCGATCATGGTACGGACCAGAAAAGAACCAGACCCAGCACAGACATCGTTCCAGGTTGTTTAGATGTTGCCGACTGTGACTTGAAACATAAACACACACCCGAACATGAAAAAATGCTATGCTTGACAAGAGAATTGAACAGTTGAATTCACGCAATGGAGACACCAATATTTTGGAATTAATTATGGAAGAAAATGTTTGCATCACAAGAACTTCGGGAGATCCCTTCCTTTGTACAGCTCTGACCCACCACCTGAGTGCTTGTCTTGTGAAAAGTTGATGGTTGAATCGAAGAACCGTGGATCATCAGAATCCTTCTCTTGAGCATGCGAAGAAGACTCCCCGCGTGGCCGTGCTCCGAAGAGGTCACTCCTTCCGGTGTCGGAGAGGACGTTTGAAATCGATTCCCGACGTGCCAGGTGATAAGGCGCTGGCCCGAGTCGCTCAAGCGGAAGAGAGGGCCGAGAAGGCCGCCCAAGCTGCGATTCAGTAAAAATGTGTCAAGCGCCTCTTCAAAACGGCTCAATTGTTTAAAGAATGTGTATTGTTATATATATTTATATACATATTTAATTATACATAGTATTTATATATATATATGACTCTCATGCTTTACTTCCGCGGTGAAGAATCTCGGGCTCGAACCGCCCGTATGTCCAGGCAGCTAGCTTTAGTTTCAGTTGGTGGAACCTTGGCCAACTTAGCGTGGCATCTTCTCGAGCCATTAGCGCCTTTTGTCCAATGTTGGATCTTGGCTGCTGAAATTTGCCCTGTAAGTTCCACTTTTGGCAGGGAACTTGATCCTTTCTCTCTCTGTTTGGGCATTCTCCTCGGGGTGCTGTTGGGCCCGCTCATAGAAGCTTGCTGGCTCTTGCGTAGGTGATGGAGTGCTTTCGTTCATCGACAATTGATCTTAGTTGCAAGTGATCGAAGCCACCAGTGGCCTTTGTATCGGTGATAGCTCATTTGTGCATGTTAGCTAGAGCCGGTCAGGTTCACCACAAAGAAGAAGCTGCTGAACTGAGGAACCTGGTTTAGCTGGTGAATAGTAGAGAAGCTGTTTTGAGACCCGGGCTGAGTTTGAGACTGGGCCGCTGCTTCCCTGAGCGCCTGAGCACGGCGAGGGACAGCCATGAGTAGAAGATTCCCCGAACCGGGAGATCAAGAACACTCCGAGGAATTCGAAGCAGAGCCTCAGGACTTTTTGTTTTGCAAGACTTAGGAACCGTTGACTACTACCAGTATACACTAGTGGGCTTCGAGGTTCTTTTAGGCGGGGAGGTCACACCGACAATTCAGAAAATTCATCGGATTTGGTAGCAGTTCCTGCCCGTGCTTGGGCTCGCAAGACACGAGACAGACTCTTGCCTGCAACATGTCTTTAAAAGTGCACAATCTATCCGTCCTTGCAGCTCACCGAGACAGTCGGGAAACTTAGTCCGACGGAGTCTACATCAAGTTGTGCGTGGGGCTTCTGAAAGCAGAGTTCACTTAACACCTCCGTTTGGACATGAACAATTTCGAAAACCCTTTTTTGGTCCTTTTTTGACAGAGGATGGGAGAACTCCTCATGGGGATTCCCTAGCAGACGAAGAGTATGCCTTTCTCACTGCAGAGTCAAAGATGGAAGAGAAGGCTCCTCCTGTTGCCGCTCCTGCCCCTCAGATCTTAAATCGCCTGGACCGCATGGAAGCAATGATTTCTTCGCTGTCGAATATGTAGCATCATTGAAGACTTCTACAACTCCTGAACGGAAACCAGCTTTGAAACATCGTGCAACTCCTTTAGCGCACGCTGTAGAGCCTCTGATTTCGAGTCTTCTAGGCTTGGACCCTTCCATGAATCAGCTGGAGAAGTTTTCCCAACTTTTTGGATCATCGAAGGGTCAATTGTTAAACGTTCTTAGTCTGGCAACTCAAGCAGCAAAGAAGCCGCTGAGGACCCATGTGCTGGGGGAAACCGAAGAGGACTTGGAAGAAGTTCCAATTCAAGAAGAAGAGCTCCCCCAAGACTTTATGGCAGCAGCCGTAGTGAAATTGGCGTCGATAATGGAGCTCTTGACCTCACCCAAAAAGAAGGGAATTAAATAGCTTCTTTCCGAAGATTGGTTAAACGATTCCGGATAATTGCTGGACTTCGGCGTTGGCTCCTCTTTAGGGAGCTTATGGAAGCATGTAGTAATTCTTGCCTTTTTCCGACGAGTTCTTAAGGATTAGCCTCTCGAATTGTATTAGGTGATGGTAAAAGCGTACGTTTAAACGATTTTGGATCGCTAGAGCTTAACCTAGGCGAATTTATGCGATTAGGCAATTTTTAGAGGACGGCTGGAATATCGTTCCCGCATTCCGAACATATTAAGTAGTGTTCGTTCAAGAACTTCTGCGTTTCCGGAAAGGAATGAATTTAATTGTGGCCGTTTTAAATTGATTACACTTGAGGAGAATTCGAGTTTGTTTTCTTCCTATTGCTTCGGTAGTATGACAGCGTGGAAAGATTGCGAATCCGTGATCGTAGAAGTTATGGATCGTAGTGTTTTGATAATGGAAGATTTAGAGTCGCTCGTCTTGAGGCTTTCGACATTTGAAAGTTTTATAGACGAAGAAGAAGATTTCGAGGCACTAGAGAATTCGAGCGATTGCAATATTTTTCGATAACGTCATTCTTGATTTTTTGCCCTAGGACTATAAAAAGCATTTGCGAACGAAACAGATCGGTTCAATTTTGACCCTATATTTTTTTTCGATGAAACGATTCGAGCAATTTTTTTAGTATATAACCTAAAACGAGCGTTTTCGATTCGAGCGATTTGTAGGCGTCGATTCTTCGAGTTAGAGTCTTTGGTGATCGGTCGGAGGTCTGGAAATTCTTAAAGAAATTGGATAAATTCGGACGATTGGGAATTTTGACGTGTGATTAGGTCTTTTACGACTAAATTGATTTGTTCTATGGAACACAAAAATCGATTAATTTTTGATCGTTATTTTTTTAATATATTTTGGAGGTCTTTATGAATCGTATTTTTAAGATTATGGCTTCTGGTATAGATATTTGAAAATTATAATTATTATTTTAATTGTATTTTATCGGCTTTGTAGGATTTTGTTCGAAATTTTTTGTTATTTTATTTTTTTTGTTGATTTTTTTAAATTCATGGTTTATAGGATTTTGTCTAAAGCGTTTCGTTATTTTGTTTTTTTTTTTGAACCGATTTTTGTGTGTTATTTCGAAGACCTTCTTATGTAGAGATGCTTATTTGCATTAGGTAAAAAGAAGGGAGAACGCGAATGAATTAAATAGGTATATATTTAGATTTAAAAAAAATTGAAGGAATTTTATAGAAATTTATTATGCTAATATAACTAAATGGAGGATCTAAAATGATCTAAAATAATAGAATTTGATTTATTAAAAATTAAAATATATTTAGATATATTATATATATATTAATAAAAATTATATTATTAATATTAAATAAAATAATATTCTTAAATATATATGTTTAATATTATAAAATGAATTAAATTAAATAATATATAATTTAAAAAATAAATTCTATAATATCTTTAAAATATTTTATATAAAAATATTATTTCTTTTTTTTAATAGATATTTTTATAAAGAAAGATAATGTAGATATTTAAATATTCTTTATAATATTTAATTATGTGTTTATATCTATTTTCTTTGATTTATTTTTTTATTGGTTTAACGAAATTTATGAATTATTTTTATTAATTCGCATATATAATAATTTATATGTTTTAATATTTTAAGATTATTAGATTATTATAATTGGATTTATAGTAATGTCTAATATATATATTTGTTTTTTTATATTAAAGCAAAAACAATATTTAAAAAATAAAGAAAATATTTGAATAACGATTTCTCTTTAATTAAATATTATAGAAAAAATTAAGGTAAAATATTATTCTTTCAAATTTATATTTTTATAAATTATATATATAATATATATATTATATTCTAATTATATTGGTTTATTAAAGTTTTAACGAATAAAATCGATGATTAAAGCAATGACATTAGGTGCAATGATCGGCAGAGATCGATTCGACGCCGTTCGATTGCGTGTGTCCAAAGGACAAGCCACAATAAATAGATATTTCGATTGAATTCGTTGGTATGGATTAAACGATATGGAATTTCAGAATTAGTTGCTAGCAACATCTATCCCGAATGAAATAGGGCAATACGACAATGTCTAGAATTGGGATCATCTCCCAAGTATACAATCCCTGCCACAACATGAAAGGATATCCATTTAATTTGAAGACCCTCATACACAAATATTGAAATATTGACCTGAGTACGATGCCATGTGATTGCACAAGTATTGTTGGTATCAAATCTTGAGTAATGTTCCAGTTGAATATATATTATGGGGCTGGGACAGCATAGTGCATTGGAATATGGCTTATTGTCATGCCGGGCATGGATAAATTGTTGCAAGGTAGCATGATCAAAAGGCATGTGCCTAAGAATTATGGAAGCAACAATAAAGTCTCGAATCTCAATGATATCATGCAATCGTGCCTCCCATCTATGAAATGGAATCCCATTAGGACGGATTAATTTTCGAAATATGGCATCACGCATCCATCCAGCAAATTCCCCTGTATCATGCTGTACGTATGTTGAATGAAAAAAAAGAGTCAACTCCGGAATTCCTCACCAAGGAAGGTATCCGGGCATGGATATAAAGGCCCGACTGCAGGACTGGTCAATAGCCGGGTCAATGGCGTTTATCATATATCCCAAGTTTCCATAATGAAGTGTGCCGTCATGGCCTGAGCCCAGAGCTGCGCTTAAAACGTGCTATTCAGATAACATATAGCTCCATTGGAGGCCAAAGCATGGGTGTGGGTATGGTTGTTGCGGCATCCTGTGGCAGTGTGTCCTGTTTCAGAGGGCGCAGGGCAGCGAAGCGGTGCACCAAATTCGGCATCTTGTTCAGGGTCAAAAGCCGTTGTAGGATCTATTCCATTTCTTGGGAATTGATGGGATCCTGCTTCGTGGGACGTAATATCACCAAATCATCTTCATTTTGGTCCAGGTTCAATTTCCCCATTCGATCTACCAAGGCCTGAATCAATTCCTGTAACAAGATCTGACGAAATGGAGCAATGGCATCAAGTTGCCGCGTCCCCACTGTGCAAATACCATGAAGGAACGATCTAAGTTCATTTCGTTCAGCAAATCCTCCTGTCTGAGTGTGAGTCGTGCAATCATCTGTAGCAAATCGTCCTGCCGTCCACAGCCGATAGATGTTGACTCCGATGCATTCCAGTGGCTTTCCTGTCATTTGATGGTGGATCGGCTCGTTGGCACTTGGGAAGTCTTCCCCACAAGCCTAAAGAAGATCCTGGTAGGATTGATCGTCCCCCATCATTTCCAAATCCATGGACATTCGAACGATTGTGTTGGATCAACCAATTAGTCCAATCCTAATACAGAGCCTGGGCTATGTCTGTCAACATGGACGCAACAAGTGTGATCTGTGTAAGGATCAGTGGTTGGTTGTCCTCAGGCGATGGTAGAATGTCATGGTCTATTATTAGGCCAAAGTGGATCCGTTTGATCCAATCACATAATAAGATTGGACAAGCAGATCATCTAAAGCGAATGAGCAATGCAGAATGCGCGGCGAAAGTTTTACGTCCAAGTTTGGCCTAGCAGGTAGGACAATTATATATTTTTGATAGGAGGAGGATAATTCATAATTGGCATAGCCAATATCTGATGGCCAATATCTATTTCATAGTTAAAATATCTGTTTAAATTGGCTATCTATTATCTTCAATTATGCAGAACCGGAAATCTCTAAGGACAATGCATTTGCATAAATATTAAGCATAATATATATCAAAATCTTAAAATATTAAGATATTTATATAATGCCTTCTTTAAATATAAAGAAACCTCGGATTGGATATAATCGTTCATAATATATATATTTCCTTTATAATGAATATATAAGAAAAATAAATTCGGCATTTATAAATGCAAATATAACGACAATAAATTAAAAAAAATATAAATATTTCAAATATAAATATTTCAATTATTCTTTTTATATTAAAATATAAATAAATTATATGATTTTTTTCCATATCCTATAATAAAATTCTAAAAATATAAATATATTTTAATATATATATTTTAATAAATAAATTCAAAAAATATATATATCATATATATATAAATTTCATAAAATCGAATATATTTAAAAACAAAAAAAAAAATCCAAATATCGAAATTAATTCGTATAATTATTCCAAAAATAAAAAAATATATATTATCAAATAAATTAAAATGCAAATATTCAAATATTCAAATAAATTTTAAAAATATATATTAATTTTTTTTATATTATAATTATTCAATAATTATATATATTAATTATATCGAATATCTAATATAATATTTCAATAAATCGATAATTTATCGATTTATATAATATCAATAATAGTGTTAATAAATATATTCTATATTATATATTTAGTCTTATATTTTTTCTCTTTATATAATATATAAATATATATATATATATATAATTTAATGAAATTAATAATAAATTTGAAGGAAATATATACATATATATTAAATTCATGTTATTGATGATTGTTATTATTCATTTGATCAATTTCAATCAAAGGAAATATGTATAAGTAAATTAACCCTCGTATGCCCTCGTGTGAATCTTGCCAAGGTCGGATAAGTTTGGATCAGGTTGGAGCTTGTATCCAATGAGTAAAGCAGCTCCATTGGCCAAACCTACGTGGTTCGCAATTCAACTTGGCATCTCGGACCTTTCGGCGAGACGAGCTTCACTCTGCTCAGAACAGGAGTTGGTCGGAGGTGAAAGGTAGCCATCTTCTGCATAAACCGGGGCCGTAAAACTCACCTGAATCCCAGTCTTCCTGCTCAAACAGGGACCTTAGCAAGGGCAAAACAAAGGGCAGACAGCCGACAAAGCTTCATCCATGCTTGGAGCAATTGAAGCAAGATCAAGTAACTCTCCCACGAATCTGTCCATTGCTCATGTCTGCACATGTTCAGCTTTCACTGTGTGGATTTGGTCGGACAAGTGAGGTCTTTGTAGGATCATCGACCTTGAGAAGCTTCGAAGAACCAGCAAGCAAAACTGACTGAGTCGGGCCCTCATTTTGGAGTGACAGGTCCCTGAAATTTATGGCAAGAACCCCCGTTGGTCATAGTTTCCATGTTTTGTATTCAAGTGTCATGGTCTTCCCACGTGGTATTTCTTCGGTCTTTCCGATGTCTTTCTTTTTTCTCGATGCATCCTGTCCAGCTGCTTTCATCGTCCCAACAAAGCCAGTTTGATCACTGGTTGTCACGGCATCTTCCCAACAACAGAAGATGACACCACCTTTGCGCCCCTTTCGGCCCCTCCAGCTCCTCTGGTCTATGGTCAACTGGTGTCCTTATGCTTTAGCGCTCGGGTTTCTTTCACCTCACCTATACGCCACGCCACCCACGTCCAACTGAGACTCCCCACGTCCAACGTCGGAGCCTGGGAAAGGGCTCCAGCCTGGCCCAGTGACCCGTCGAAACACCCTCTGGAGGGGTCGCAGCGCCTCCGAAGCGGCGGCTTCGGCGGGGCAGGTCACTCGGCCGGCCGCCTGGGAAAGCAGTGGGCGAAAAGAAGGGGCATGAAGACGTGGCATAAAAGGCGGGTGTGTTTTTTTGGTTTGGAAGTCCAAGCACTGAGATCCCTGCAATATACCAGCTGGTCCACACCTGGTCAAGAATCCAGTTTTTGCTGGGCCAAGAAGGACAGTCTGAGGCCCTGTCGAAGCAGTACAGCATAAAGAAGAACAACCTGGCTGAACCGAAGAATGCAAGTCTGAGTTCACCCTTCGCCAAGTCCATCTTCCTCCCCAAAGGCGAACCTTGCCATCCAAACCTCTCTGTCCAATCCCCCAGACCCTCCAAACCCCGGCGCCCGGTGGAGGCGGCCCGTGAACACGTCGTCCCCGGTGGCAGCAGCAATCGCCTGTGGGCGACCGAACGGGACATCAGGCGTGCGTGGTGTGTGGCTTCAGGGGCCCCACTCGATGAAGAGCCGCGAGTCCTCGTCGGCCTCAAAGCAGGCAGGGCCGGCCAAAGGGCAGCAGAAGTTCGGGTCTCAGCCGAAGAAGGGGTCTGCGTGTGTCATCCCGCACAAACCAGTGTTGGCCTCTCTAAAAGTACCGTTATGTTTCCGCTACACCCAAAAACCTATTGGACCAGAGGGAGTCTACCGATTCAAGGACACGCCCCATGTTCGATGGCTCTGTCCCGAAAGAACACGTGAGAAGGCGGAGAAAACAACACCCTGCCAAAAGGTGATACAAGTGTTGTTCACTTCACAGGAGGAGATTCAGCGTTCTCTTGCTTCCTGATGTTGACATGGCTGTCCGACGCCTTGTGCTTGGATACTGGGATACTGAGCTCAGTCCGACGCCTTGTCTGATCGGAGAGCGGGCATGGCGGCACAGACAAGTCTCACTGGTTGGTCTGATTAGACTTATCCTTGGCTTTGGCCTCTCATCGTGGAGGTGGTCTCTCATCGTTCATCGTGGAGGTGATCTCTCGTCGTGGAGGTGGTCTCTTGAGAAAAAGAGCCAGCTGAAGAAACACTTCAGGTCTTGGTTCATCAGTATCTGAATCGAATACAGTTCACTTCCTCAAAAAAATAAGGTTGTGCTGCTTCGCCCATCAAGGTCCATGGTTTCTCTTTTTTTTCGTTCTGCTTTTGGAAGAATTTTGGTCTCTAGAGAGGGCTACCCTGTCTTCATTCAAGCCCATGACTCATGCAACTTGCTTTCAGCTGGTCTCAGCCATTTGTCCAGGAAGCCTGTACAGATTCCTTTCTCCAACTGTGAACATGCATCCAGGGGTGCTAAACAGAAGCCGTGCCAATGCTCTGCGTCTCACTGTGCGTGCCTTTGTTTTCGAATGAACAGTCGAGCGAACAGCACGCACTCCCATCCATCACGCATCAATCGGGGAACTTTCTGGCCAGCCTGGACAACGACCACCAAAGCCATGGATGTGTGATTCAAGACTATCAGGTGGTAGCTAAGGAGGACACGCTTTGTCAACAGCCGCAAGTTGAAGTGCATCTGCTCGAGCCTGTCTCAGAACTTCAGAAACTCCAAATCCAAAGCAATGAGGACACAGCACCAACACTCAGGCAAAACGTCAGACAGAGAGGCCCGCTGAGGATCTTGATCCTGGGCCCTGAGGATCTATTTTCTGGAACCTCACCAAACCCCGACGGAAAACAAAGCAATTGAAAACACGGACCTTCCGCAAACTGGTCTTCTTCCTACCTTGTTCACCACTCAAAGGGCCAGCCAATTCATAAGGCCTTTTTATTTTAACAGCTATATAATTTTTTAAAGAAGCGCTCGCACTAGATGTTTAGGGAAACTTAAATATAGGCCTTAGCTATCATATCCTGTTCTTCCCGCACCTAACCACTGACCAGCCTGATCCCAGTCTTCTTTGGAGACGGGCTTTGGTTTCTCTCTCGGCCGAACCTGAGCAACAGCGAAACACCGAGACCCCTGGCCAGCGATCGGTTGATTCGGGCGGTTCTTCATCTTAAGCAGCCCACATCAAAGGGGGAGCTCTACGACAGCGCAACGAAAAACGCTCTTTCTTCACCCTACTAGGTGAACGGTCGTGATGGGATCGTGAACGGTCGGCGCCATGAGCCGAAAACGAGCCTTCAGGCCCACCCAGGACTGAGGGCTCCCAGCCCAAATCCGTGCACATCGCTCATAGACCTGGGCCGCCGGCTGGTGATGATCTCAGTTGCACAGTCGTGCATACTGCAGTTTCAGGTTCATAAACTTGGTTTGAACACATGGCCTCTAGCCTCTACTCTAGCGTAACAGAAAGAGGATGGCTCAGCTTGGATTTTGGTCCTATTCAGTCAAATTCACTTCCAACAAGTTGAACTCCACGACCGGTTTGACCATTTTTGGGCAGGCCTCGTAGGTTTGCAAAGGAGGCGTCTCTGGCAGCCCTCTGGTTGCATCCTGGAAGAAATGAGATACGTGTGAGAGAATTTCTCGACCTAGAAGCCAAGTGATTTGATTTAGGGATTCCTAGAAAGGGGATAGTTCTTAAAGGAAAGGGGGGGGGTGCAATATCCACTCATTTGGATTGTTAGAACGCTTGGATAAGAGACATTCTAAATCCTTTTAATCTATGCTCTCCAAATGCTCCACCAGCTAGCCACGTGACCATGATGCATGGCCGCTTTGAGAACAAGGCGATGGCAAAGAATGTCTGCGAAGAGTGAGTGAAACCCCATGTTCCATCTCATGCTTCAGTCAAAGACGAAGACGGTTAGCTCTGAACATTTGCTGACCATCCAACCCAGAACTGAGGCACCGACCCAAAGGCAGGTGCCATGGATTGGGTCGAAGAGGTAGGTATGAGCCGGGCAAGCAATCACCACCTCGTGGAAGTCGGGCACGAGTTGGTTCTTCTCCGCTCCGAAAAAATAGAAAAAGGCTGAGGAAGGCGCCCCGGCATCCAGCTCCGACAAGTCCTGGTGAAGTCTTAAACAGGACAGAAGTTTCTGGTTCTGTACTCTAAAATACTGCAAAAGAATTAAAAATAAAAAAAACACACACACACATATATATATATATATATATAAAGTATTTGCTGCGATGGGCAAACAAGTTTCTGTACAGTAGTCCAACGAATGGCCAAATGTCAACTTCAGGTCCTCGATGTCACCACCGACGATGAGATCAATCCCCGCATGTGGACAGCTTCGATTGAAAGCAAGCCATTGACCATTCCGGTGCCTGTCATGGACGTCCATACAGGCAGAAAAACGGTCAGAGTCAGAACACCTAACTGTTCAGGAAAAAAGAAAGCGTACCTTCCCTTCTTCCATCTTCTTCCCCCTCCGAAATCGCGTATGACCCAACCAAACCGACGGAAACCACCAGCTTTCTGCGCTTTCGCCTCGCGTACCGCCCCTGCGCAACGGCACGTCCTGCGCGGCCCAGCCCTGCGCCGGCACTCATGCTACCGTGCTCCAAGGACGGGCCAGGTGGGCAGCACGCAAGCTTCATGGCCCTCCGAGTCGAAGGGAAGGATCTCCCAGCCTCCGTCGGCGGTTTCAACCCCGGGGAACGCCGACACGACGAAATGGGCCAACCGCGCGCACCGCAAGGCCCCTCGGTGAAGTCGGACCTGGCGGAGCCCGGAGGAGCCCGGAGGAGCTTTCGGTGCAAAGTGGCTTGGGGATGGGGTCTTTTTGGCCTGCCGCAGCTTCAAGACCAAACCTTTGTCGTCCTTTTTGTGTGGTCTTGGAGATGACTTGTTCGTGGGTGCCAACTTCTTGTCCAGTGGAAGGTTCATGTTCATATGAGGCTGCCAAAAAAGGGTCACTTTGAGCTTCATTAGCCAAGTTGGCCAAATGCTTTGGGATTGGTCTGAGCCAAGAGTTTTGGTGAACTTGATTGGCACAGTCCTCGCCTTCGCCCCACGAATCGCCAGGAGTTCTGGCAGGACAGTGAGGTCCAACATGGGCTATGTCAAGCCTGGCTGTGGGTCATCCAGTGGTGAACATCCCAATAAAGCAAGAACATATTGAAGAGTTCATTGCAAAATGTTCAATGTGTTGGATGTTTTGTGTTGACCCACAGCCATCTTGAAGGTCCACTTTCATGCTTTTGGAGATAGGAGAAGAAAGCGTGTCGACAGCGCTTGCCAGCGGCGCAGCAGAACCTCAAAGCCGCATGCACATGCGCAGGATTGCGCAGGTGCATGCTGGTGTGGTGCACACGGAATCCGCACCCGTCTGATGGTGAAGAGGAATCCGCACGGAATCCGCACGGAATCCGCAGTTCGTTGGCTTCGAAGAAAGACTTGTTCGTTGATGGGTCCGTGTTGAATCCTCACCGACTCGGACGAGTCCAATCGAGTCGGCTGGGGCCACGGCCACGGCCACGGCCCCCAGGGCGACACCTGGAGCCGATAGGAGGAGGGTTAAGGGGCGAAGGGTGGGGTACAAGATATTGAACCCAGGGCCATATCAAGGCACTTGAAACATGCAAATATGAATGTATTGAGGTGTGAAAACCCACCAGCTGCCAGGTGGGAAAGAGTGGGTGTGGTGTTTTGTCTCCTGATCATCAAGGTAATATGGAAGTGGATGGCACGAAACAGGTGGTTCGTTGAGTTTCAGGTGTAGAGCTACTGCTGGAGCTAAACGAGTGGAGATGCGCAATGCGCGCAGAACGTGACCCAGTTACTAGACACATGAGATTTCTGCGTGATGTTGCTGCATGCTTCCAGGTTGGTCCTAATGTATATATCACTGCCATTTCTGGGGATTCTGAGGCTTTCAGATTGCATCTGACTTTTATACAATAGGAAGACCAGTCAGTTGGAATTTCTGGAAGAAGGAAGATAGACCATAGACCAGTCTAGCCATTTCCTTCCAAACCCAAAATATAGAGGAACACTACAAGACTTCCCCCTTCAACCCACCTGCTGGTAGAAGCCACGCGTCGCGGCCGCTGCTCCAGCGGGGGAAGGAAGTGCTCAGAGCCATTGGCTTGCAGGTCACATGGTTCAACGCCTTCAGAGGGCACCTTGGTAATTGTTGGGGTGGCCATATTTTGGAGGGTGCTGGAGGGTGCTGGTCGGCTGCAAGCAACGGCACCTTTGCTTGCTTGGTTAGAAGAACAGGGTGTTGTTGTTGTCGGCACGTCTCCAAACTCCCGCCCCGCCCTGCTTTCGTGATGAGAGGCCTTCGGCCGCACTCCCAGTGCAGAAGGTTTACAAAGAACCTGACAAGCATTGCTTTGTAGAGGAGAATTCTTGTTTAGAGGTCATTTTTGTTCGGGTGTTTCGGAATGTTTCGTTGCTTGTTAGGGGAGGTTCCAACAGACCCTTATTTTTCTGTGCGCCGGTGAAGGAGTTCTGACCAAAACTGCAGCAGCACAGTGAGCCTTCATTTTCTGAGCTCTATCTTCTGCGAGCAACCGGTGAGTGTCTCATGCAAAGAAGGACACAACTCTTCAAAGGCGGTGCCAATGCTCTGTACATGAAGGCATGGCCGGTCATGGCTCCAAGTCAAGTCTCGCCGTCGAGTGGTATACCGGTAGCCACAGCTCTTCACGTTTTTAGTCTCTATAGTCATCGACTTGCTCAGTCAAGGGAGGAGAGACACATTTTCGAGCCCTGATTAAAACAAAAGCGTGCAAATAGCCCCTAGCTAGTGAGGCGAGATAGATGCACCAGGTCCAAAAGACTCGGGTGCACACAACGTTGCACCACGATCTCGGCTCGAGTCGCGCGCCGAGTCGCGGCCTATTCTTTCTTCTCAGAAATATGTAGGAAGAGCCCCGAGAAATCCTGCCGGCGCGGCTGGCGCACGCGGCGGTTCTCGCACGTGCCGGCAAGATCGCCGCTCCGTGCCTTCATGGTGGCTGAATCGTTTTCTTCGGTCCGATATGAATGGTGGTCAGTGATGGGCCGCTGTTCAGGATCTTGGTCAAGAAACCAACGGCTCACAACTGGCTGTTTGACTCATAAAAGCTTTGTGGTGTTCAGGATTCTGCCAAGAGTCATAAGGATGACTTGTCAGACACGAGTGAAACACTTGCTGGTTCCTGTCTGGAGCTGTCTGGAGATGTCTGGATGGGGGGTCCCGACCAATATCCAATCCATCCAAAGCACACACAGACCAGTGCTTTTTGGGCCGGGGAGTCCAAAAACGGGGGGCTTGCGCCCCGTTGTAGGCTCAGTTTCAGAGGCATGCGCCGTATATGCACTGGTTGCTTCGGTTTCGGGATCATCCCACTTGATGTGGACTATTGATTCATGACCCCCCTACCAGAAGAGTATTACATCTCCATATGGGGTGTTACATCTCCATTTCTGGGGTGGTTTTATTGATCAACAGTCAACATCTAGTCTTGGACATCACCATCGCCATGGCAGCGGCCGCCAGGCAAACGGCCACCTCGGAAGGCGCGAGTGGCGCCAGCGCTGGGTTTTCACCTGCCTTCGTTCCATCACCTCGAGCACTCATCTGCGAGTACATTTGGAGGGCCAAGCCTGGCAGCAGCCAGGCAGCGAGTCAGTCTAGCAGACCAGCACCCAAGCTCTAAAGCGCACACAGGCACCTATTCCTATACTTGAAGTAAGAACCCCAATAGCTCTCCCTCTGTAGGGAAAAAGGAAGACCTCCTGGAAGAAGGCAAATATATAGACCAAAACCCAATGGTTGGGAGACCGGGTTTCCAACCCAATGGTTGGGGGTCTCCCTATTTATATGAATGCATACCCACATGGCGCATGAAAAGGAATGATCGCACCTCCCATCGGTAAGCCCAACTTGGGTTTGGATGCCAGGGCAGCGCCCGTCGCCAGACCCAGGTCCTGGAATGCTGAGCAAAGATTGACACATACAAGGGTTCAAAGCAAAAAAATACCAACAGGTAGCCGTGTTTGTGCCATAGGTCATATGGGCCAGGTTTGATATCCTTTCTTTTCCACCTGCGACCCTGTCAATGTGGGACATCTCCACAGAAAAACGCACCTATAATGTGATCGGTTCATCATTTCGGTTCAGTAGCGAGTGACGTCGGTCAATCCTGGTGACGTCGGTCAAAGCGAAAGGACATCACCAAAGGGGAGTGTTCGTCGCATCCGTTTTCGGCGTTCTTTAGAGGTTCGGATCTTGCTCGTCCCCAAACAAAGGGGTTCATGGTGTCCAACCGATCCAAGTGACACGGACCCTTGGGTCATGCGTTCGCGATCCAGGACCCTTGTGGTCACGGGATCAGCTGGTTTTTGGGCCACGGCGGTGTCGAGGGGTGTCGACGACGGTGGACTCCACGCACTGCCTTGGCGGCGGCTTGACGCCGAAAGATGCCCCGGGCACGCACCGTCCTTGAGCATCAAGTCGCAGGCAAAGCCTCCGGTGTACCCTCGAGCTGCAGGAACCTCATCAAAGCTATTCGATGCGAGTCGTGAAGAATAGGAACATGTTCTTTCCCCTTTTCTTTGATGAGTACCCATACAGGTTGAGTAAGCTTGGAGCTGTATCCATCTCCGTCCCCTGCCAACAAGCCCTCATTCCACTCAATTTTCTTTTGTTGAGTACATGAAGGTCATGAACTCTTGATTGAAGTTAAATTTCCGGATGAGGGGGGACAACCCTAAGGTATCAAGCTGCTGCCGAAAACTCTGTTGCAGTGGTTTCAGTGTGCTGTCGTTACCTGGTGCTTAGCGGCCTGGAACATGTACCAACCAGCTTTAGCACCCAAAGGACTTTTCGCACTGGAAGAACCACCCGAGAAGAGCTCTCTACAAACCCCCTGTCGTCATGGGGAAGGTGAGCACCAATTGCCGAAGTCATGGGGACCCACTGATGGACCGAGGGGATGTTGTTCGCATCAGTCTGCCCACAAGGAACGCTGGCGGACCGAATCCTTAAGGCTTCCTGGTGAAGAGAAGCAGTGCAGGTGAAGAGAAGAGGACAAGCATGATGAACCTACACATCATCTACCACTGTGGATGTTGCTTCATCAACTCCTTCAGACGGAAGAGAAGACTGGATTGGAGATGCCTCGCTTTCGTGTCACTCTGAGCCAGGCACTCCTTCCATCACCCCTGGGCAGGGATTGTAGACCTCGCTGCTCCAGCACCTGAAGAAACAGCCTTGAAGTGCGAATCTCTGGGTTTGCGGAATTCAGAAGTGCCCAAACACGGACTCTTCTTCATCTCCATACTAGTGGATATCTGTCACTTAAACCCGCAGAGATTGCAGAGATGAAACGCATTTCTTTCATGTAAAACGACCTAAAATGATGGCATTGCTAGTCTTTCTATCCACTTGAAGGGCCACCCCACCCCCGAAAAACAGAAGGCACTCGATCTACTCTCCAGATAGCGAGACACAACAAACAACGGTCAGCGCTCCGCCACTGCTGAGCGCTGCAGCGGAGCGCGCTCCGCAGCGGGCTGCGCCTGCCAGAGCTCGTGTTCAGGATCTCCGCCAGCTTCTTCTGATCAAGGCCCAAGCGCTCCGCCAGAGCATGGCCCTCACAAACACCGGCCATAGTGATGCCCAGCACCAGGTTGTTACACAGCTTGGCGGCCTGCTGTTCACAAGGAAACAAAGGGGCCAAAGAAGGGGGCTGGGATAGAAGATGAAGGTCAGGAGAGTAGCTTTGGATGAGAGCTTGAGATGATTCATCCGGTGAGATGAGATCTATCTCACAGGGCCCTGATTCCGATGCTTTGAGATCCTGTAACACAGGATCAGTTGAGTGTGATTTGTCGATCTGTCATGGTTTGGGGCTTCTACATGGGATTCTAACCCCCTGTTCTCATGGATTCGAGGGCCTGTTACTGCTGTGAGCATGGATTTCATCCGCGTGGCGTTGTTCCATGGTCCTTCCTCTTCCCACGTTGGAAGTTGGATGTTGGATGTTGCAGCAGTCCGCTAGGCCCCCGGTCAAGAGACCCGGAACCTGGTGCTGGGACTTGTGCTGGTTTGTTCGGCCCTGACACCAATGTCTTGGATTTGTAGGCGGAGCATTTGAGGGCGAGACTCTTTGCACATCCACAAGACGCACCCAAGAATGTTGGTTCCAGCTCAAAGAACCTTCCAAAAGCGTATGAAAGATCAGCGTATCCTACGTTCCATTGGAGGGTTCAACGACGTGGATATCTGGTAATCCCCCACGTTCTCCTCTTCCATTCAGAAATCCCACGAGCCAGAAATCCCGACCTTGAAGGATTGATGAAGAAGTCTCACATCCAAAGCCTAGGGCCTAAAGCATCAAACCTATGAATTAAATAGATTCACTGCATCTACTCCCTAAACCTCAGGAACATGTGGAATTCTGCCTCAGGAAGATTCCCACTTCGCACCCTGGGCAAAACCAGTGAGCGACCTCTGCTTCGCCGCTGTCATGAACCCAGATCATGGACCCAAACGTTTGAAGTAGATGGAGTACCCCCACACCCGAAAAAGGGAAGAAGGATGGGATAGAATCGCCCTCCCCGAAAAAGAAAAACAGGAGGCCTCAAAGAGAGAAGGCCTTGGAAAAGATTTGGCTACCTTAACAGAGTCGTAGTGACGACGCCTCTTCCAGCTTGGGGCGATCTTCCGTTTGGTGAGCGATGCTGGGCCTGACCCATGCCGGCATCACCACAGTACACGACCTCCCAGTGGGGCTGGAACAGCAAAGTCACAAAGAAGGTTTGCAAGAAGCTCATAATAATAAAGAAACAGAAAGACTCATGAAGAAACAGAATTGTTCTCCATTTCTGATTTCAGGTGATTCCTTCAAAGGGCTCCTTTCCGGGTTTGGGCCTTCTTCCCCATGTGCTGAAGGATCGCGCTGGCCGCTTGAAACAAAGGCTCTGGCCTCTGGACCAAATCGTCGACATGAAAAAGGACGGAGCAATAAGAAGTGGTTTTGTCTACAAAGGGATGCAGTGGTGGTTTGAAATGGGATCGGACCTTGACATCTGCCCAAAAGCTTTCAGACACAAACCCGTCCAAGTGGCCGCCGTGGCCGGGTGTCGTCCTAGACGTCCCTGAGGCTCCCGACCCACCCACCATGAAGGTCAGGGTCGCCTTGCAAGACACAGACACACACCATGGCAACCATGAAGGTCAGTAATCCAAAAGGCCTTAGATCGCGCACTTTCTTCCAAAAAGATCGAAAACAAAAAGAACGGATGGCAGTTCGGCCCCTGGAATCATCGTCAAACCCACGTTCTCCGAACGCAGGACACTTGGCCCCGAAGACTTGGATGACCCAAGACCCGTTTAGGCCCGTTTTAGACCAAACGGGTGGTTTTCACGATGAATTCAGAGAGTGTAAATTAGAACACTGTTGGTTGTTGGAGGCCTGAGGCTGTCTGGGGTCTCTTCTCTTCTGTTCGAGGCACTGAAAAGGATTCTCTGGAAAACTTGTCCTCATCCACCTCCATTTTGCCAACTGAAACCACCCGGTTCCACATCTGCAGCTGGCGGAATCCGCTTCCGTCCGCGCTCCACATCCGCCTGCTCTGCTGCTGGTGTCCCTCCAGACACAGGAGCATCCACAGCTGAAACGCCTCACCCGCTCCCATCGGGGCGCGTTTCTCCGCAACTGCGCCTTTTCTTGGCAGATCTGCGGAGGAATGCTAAACTTGAAAGATGAGAAGAAGGAATAAAACTTAGGTTCTTGTTTCTAGTAGCGATGGCCTCCAACCTACTCCACCCAGCATAGCGTCCTCGTTAGTTAGTGGTTAGAGCTCAGACCACTCAGATGAAGCGATGAGAGAAGTTCCCAAAACATGAACTTGTTTCATCCATTCAAATGTACAAACACTTGGCACTTGATCACGGTTGGGGCTTCAAAGGGTGCTCGAAGACATCACCGTCAACTTCTGGTGATTTCCATGCCTCGTTCACTCGCCATCCGCGCCACCTGCAAACACAAAAGGCATGAAAATGGCTGGCTATGTGCCTATCACGCACAGGAAGAACATCATGCAGAAACAACGCAAAAGAAAAACATAAAATCTCTATTGAGGTCATGGCTCCGAACCCATCACGATAGACCAATCTCAACCGGTCCCTCAATCTTCCTCGGTCACCACCACCCTGCCTTCTCACCTGCCTTCTCACCTGCGTTCTCACCCCTGCAGATGCTCTCTTTCTTCCTCCGTCACCCGCCGGGTTCCCCACCCAACCCCACCCCGTCTCCTCCCAATTCCGCCCCGCACCGCGCCCCTCCCTCGCCTGCTGCCCGATCGCCGGCTCGCAGGTGGAGCAGTCGATCAGCAACGATCCATTCTCCGCCTCGGCTCGGCTCGGAATTCGGCCGGTGGCGGCCACGGAGGCGGCGGTTTTGAGCGGAGCGCCAGCGACGGTGTCTTTGAGCGCAACCAGCTGAGAATAAAGAAGAACGAGACAGGGTTGTGTCAAAAAGAAAGTGGCTCACTCTAAATACTCAAAAGCTTTGTTTTAATGTTCTTTTTATTTGAGGCGTGTTAAATCGTCTGTCAAGAATCTCCCCCATCAGCCAGCAGCCCCTCTTTGCCACCATAGACCTCGCCGGACCGAAAAAAGCACATCTTGGGTGATGAGAGTTACCAGTGTATGTGTGTGTCTGCGACAAAAGCTCGGTGCAATTCCGGTGAAATCTCAGAAAGTGGTCCTTCAAAACGAAAGCATCAAAATCTCAGGTTGGATTCAGGGGTTTGCATCAAAAGCCATCAACAATTAATGAACAAAACCTATGGCTAAGGCCGGAGTACTTTCAGCAGGATCATGCTCGTGCCCGCACATGGGCTTGGCTTCACCAAAACCCCGTCACACCAACCGCCGAAAAACACGGCCCACAAGCCGTTCCTCAAACTTACTCAAGGAAGCAGAACATAACCCCTCAGCTTCCAAAAAATGAGTCCAGCATCAAGGGGAACGTTGGAAACTTCATACCTGGATCTTCCAAGTATGCAAAAGGTCTGCCTTTTGGCTGCTTGTATAAATATATATATATATACATAGATGAAAATATTATATATATATATACATAGATGAAAAGCCAGACATTTTGCATAGTGGAAGATCCAGGTATGTCAGTCTCGGGGAGAGTCCCTCTCAAATGAACCCTCGGAAGATTCTTGGCGAGCGGCCGGGCTTGTGCTCGAGAGATTGCAAGACGTGTTTCCACAATCCAACATTCGAATTTTCAATGTTCAGTTCTTTTTGAGTAGATCCGTTTTAAAACATGTAGATCACTGTGAAACTTCCACATGGCGTGTTTCGAGATCGTCATGCGGTCACACGGGAGCCGTCCCGGGAAGAACCGCCAAAACCGCGGCCGCCAAAACCGCGGCTTTGCATCGATTCCTTCGGTCACCGGCCTCTAAGACGTGACTTCCCTGGGGCAGCATGGTGACCACGGTCTTGGCCACGGAGGCCACAGCCAACGGAGACCTCGTGGCGGCCGGGCTGGTTCCGGTTCCGAAGAGCAGGCGTCGTGAAATGCAGGGGAGGGTGGTCTGTCCGGTCTGTCGTTTTGGTTCGCTAGACGAATCCACAGACCCGAGGGTAGGGGCCGAACCCAAAGAAGTTATGTGGAATGCACTCAGTGACCAGGCCAATGACCATGGTTCTCTTTTGGTCGAGCGGAGCGCTGGCGGAGCGTTCCGGGTCCCGTGTGGAGCCGGGCCACTCCAAGGGTCGACCACCGGCGTCGGCAAAGGCGGCCAGGTTGGAGGCAGACACATCGAAGCCCACCACCTGCCGGTATGAAGGTTCCTTTTGAGGAGGGAGACCTCCGATCTGGAAGACATGTCATAATTCCAAGCTGGGCCCGATGTGTGTGTGTGTGTGTGTGTGTTTTTCTTGGGAGGTGGGTCGCACTTGACCAACTCCGAGAGCAGCCGTCGCAAGGTCTAGCGGGCTCCGCTCCGCACCAGCGACCCAGGTCGCGCGCCCGCGCCGGGCGCCTCGTGGCCGGCCTTCATCAAGTTGCGTGCCATGGGACCACCTCAGCCGAGAGCACAAGAGGGCGGAGTCCACCGCGTCGGTGCTGAGGAGCGAACCCATGTTGCCCAGACCAATGAAGCCTCAGCCGGTTTCGATCTGCTGTAAGAAACTCTCCCCCAACGGCAGTTTGGAAGAAGAGCTTCATGGTCAGTTCGGAAAGATCCTCATGAAGGTCTCTGTCCAGAAGTTCGAAGTCTCTTCCAAGTAAGTCTCGTTCACATGTCATGCCAACTGAACGACACCGCGTGCTCGCGTGCTTCGAACCAACAAAGCCAGAGCGAGAGGCCCAAAGGCTTTGAGGCGTGGGTGGCATGCCACCGGGCAGTTCCAGGCCTAACGCGTCGGATGAATCCAATGTTTTGATATAGACCCCCATGTCTAGACAGAAAAGCAGATCCCCACAGAAAACGTATTGGAAACCGTGCCACTATCTACTTGGGGACCACTATATCTGGAATCCATCCAAAGATGTGTGACCAAAATTCAGGTAGGGGTGGAGGTGGATTTATCAACAGTCAACATTTGTGTTCGAATGCTGGCTGAGGACTTCTGTGCCCCCCAAGCACCTCTGGATCCCCAGATGCGGAAAGGGCAGGCGGAATGGGGTCACCTTCTTCCGGGTCGGAACTGTTTTGTTCTCCCAAAAGAAGGCCAAGTGCGGACCTCAAAGGTCTATCATCTGAGTACAAACGGCTGCAAAGAAAACCAAGAAGGCCCGAGCAAGAAGAGTGCACCATCTAAACATACATTGGCCACACACAACCAATATATGTAAAGTTCACAGTTCCTCTCTTTCAGCACTACATGAGCCGCTATATCTAATCCACCCGGAAAATGACCTGAATCGTACGACCTTCAAAACACGCGCTGAAAATGTTCTTCGGAAACCAGGCAAGAACTTCAACAAGCGAGCGCCTGAAGCAAAACAACGCCCGTCTGCAAATCATGACGACAAAGGAACAAAGGAGATGCTGCGGAACCAGTTCCTGGTATCACTGAAGCAAACTGTTTCTAAGTTGTGCGTTGGTGGTCAAGATTGACTCGGGGTGTTGTATGGTGTTGTTCAGGTGACCGTCACGATGTCATTCACATGATCATTGCCAAAGGCCAGAGTCTAACTCAAAACGTAATTACCTTCAAGAATCAAACAACTCCTGCCAAACATACACTACAAGGAACCAAAATTCAGGGATCGGCGTCGGTGCATGATCGTAAGGGCAAGCAGCAAGCACAAGGTTTGGGCCATGTCAACTTCGGCCTGTTAAAAATCTATGCTGGCACAATTTCATTGAATCAGGTTTCCTGTTGGCGGGTTTCCCAGTGAACTGTGTCGGAGTTAAACACACGACGACAGGAACACAGGTTTCCAAACAAATATTTGGACATGACTATGACTATATATTTGATGTACATGTCAACCCTGACGCGGAAACCTCGATGAACAGTACCTGGTCTTCAAAACTGTTGGTTTTTGATGTTTGCTTTGACAAACGCACGGTAGCTCATGATTGCGGTGTGAACTGCGAAATTTGGTGCACCTTCACGGCTTCATTCTTCATACCAACAACGTCTTCAATCGAAACTGCTGAAGGACACACACATCGAAATGTATGCCATGAAACGATGGAAACAGTACAAAACCAACCAAGACCACATCTTTTCAAGTCCAAAAAAGAACGCTCTGCCTGCAAGGCTAATTTTCGGGCAGCATCTCGAGGTGCAAGGCGCATCCAAGCGAAGGAAATGACCTTGCTGAAATCTCGGACATTGGAGAAAGAGACTGACATTTTTCCTGTTCACTGTTGGGATTTAGCATTTTGAACTGTGTGTCTGGGCTCTGTCCGGGTCTTGTTCTCCTCTTGTCCTGCTGTTGTCCTCCAGCCGTTGTCCTCCTCTTGTCCTCTGTGCTGCACTGGCCAACCCTGTTCTCCTCTTGCTCCTTCTCTTGTCCTGCTGTTGTTCTCTGGCCTCGCTGGCCAACCCTGTCTTGTCCTGCTGCTGTCCAAGCCTCTATGCTCGAGATGGCCAGAAAGCCAGCCCCCCAACAGCGGGCACCGCACCTTCCTGATCAACTTCCGCCGTTTTTGAATGTGGCAGCTGGCACGCTCTGGCTGCTGCTGCTTGCGGCATACTGGCTGAAGGGCGAGTATCCCGGTCCCAAGTCCGGGCGTGGACCACGGTGTCTCAGCGAGTCTTGGCAACGTTTTTGGTCCATGAGAGGTGAGGGTTCCCTCCGGTCCACGACGGAGGGGAGGAGACCCGATAGGTCAAGTTTCCCCCCGGTACCCTCCAAAAGAACTGTGGAATAGGGCAAATAGCAGGCCCCACCGGGGCACAAGGGCTCAGCTCAACCTGGAGCACGAAGAAGAGCTTTAGGAAAGCAGTGCACCGCCTGATGCGAGATGGAACGGAACATCATCAAACTCTGGAAATCTCTCTCCAGTCTCTTTCTCTTCATGCTCGCGATGAAATCTATCCCACTCATCATCGATAGACTTTCTTTTCCTCTTCTCTCGTTCTGACTCTGATTCTGGAACTCTTTCTCCCGACTCTTGCTGAGATTCAGGCTTTTCTTCGGTATCCAAGCCTTCTTCCAATCCTTCAGGCACAACGGGCACAGACGACTCGTCTTCGATCGGTACTATCCGTTTGTACTCTTCTTCAAGATACTTTTTGTAACGGTTCCGACACTTCACTGAATGACCTGTTTCACTCCCGTTCGAACAAGCTGGACATCTCGAAGTCTTATTCACTTCACTCCAATACCAAGGTGGTTCCCCTTCATGGATGGGCAAATCAACCAACTTCTGGGGTTTCGAAAGATCATTCGGTAGTCTTTCAATCCTGTCTGGCTTCACTCCACTCTTGGAATTTGGAATTTCACACAACATCCCAAGTCCAGCGACAAAACGAATCGGTGAGGCAATCTTCAAGTCTCGAACAGGCACAACCACAGTCTCATCCTGTGAACCTTCGAAGGCAACGAAGTGACCAAACGAAGATAACTTTGGGGTCAAGTAA